CTGTGCAGATTGTGGGACAGGCCCAGAAGGACTCTAGGGAGTGGGGGCAGCAAGCCTGTCCGTCAGATGGGGGTCCTTGGGACCACAGACCCTGAGGGGACTTGTGAGTCCCACCCAGCTGAAGGAGGAGAGACGGAGAGCCCCTGAGAGGCCACCCAGCCCCAATGTCGCTCTGGGGCTCCATCCCCACCCCTACTCACTTCCCCAGCCATGCTGGCCCTCAAGGCGGAAAATGTAATAACTCCTCTCTACCCCGAGCCCAGCCCCTGCTATTCCCTTTGTCCAAAGTCGGCTCCATCTTCTAAACTCAGCCTAATCACTGCTTCCTCCAGGAAGCCTGCCCTGCTCCCTCACTGCCATCCTCTCACCGCCAGCATCTCATTCTCCACTCCTGGGACCTGAGCTCTAGAGGGCAGGCCACCTCTGCTTGCCCTAAGTCCCCAGGCCCAACCCGGAGCTGGCCTGTCGTAGAGGCCTGGGCGTGACTGAGGTAGGATGGATGTCCTCCTCACCAAGGGCCACCCTCACCAGATGCTTGGCCCAGCAGCTGTAGCCCCAGAAAGAGGAGCCGAGGAATGGCTGTGCTCCCTGTGTGAGGGAAGGGCACCCCACAGTCCGGGCTGAGTCAGAGTACACCCCAAAGCCCCGGGGCCCTCAGGGTTCCAAGCGGGAATCAGTAACGACAGTGACAGTAACAGCCACAGCTGGGCAGGTTGCCGTGGCTCACGCCTGTAATCCCAGCACTTTGTGGGGCTGAAGAAGGAGAATCACTTGAGTTCAGGAGCTTGAGACCAGCCCGGGCAACGCAGCAAGACCCCGTCTATACCGAAAATACAGAAAAATTAGCCAGGCATAGTAGCACTAGCCTGTAGTCCCAACTATTTGGGAGGCTGAGGCGGAGGTTCCCCCAAGCCCAGGAGGTCAAGACTGCAGTGAGCTGTAATCACACCACTGTACTCCAGCTTGGGGGACAGAGTGACACCCTATCTTAAGAAATTAAAAAGCACCCACAGCTCGGTGACCACACTGGGCTATGGCAAGCCAGGCACTGGGTGAGCACCAAACACATATGAATTCACTGAATCCTCACCACAGCCCACTCCGAGGAAACTGAGGCACAAAGAGGCTATGTGGCTTGTCCAAGGCCATACAGCTGGCAAGTGAAGGGCTTGAACTTCAGCACCACGCCGCCCCCATAAAGGCAGCCAGCTCAGGGGCAGGGGCCTATGGAGGAGGGGCTCTCCATGCACCCTTTTAGCAGTCTCCCGTTAGGCTGGGACCCGGATGGAGCCATCACCCTGTCTCCCTGCTTGGCACTTGGACAATGAATGGCACACCGCAGGTGCTCAACAAATCCATACTGAAAACGGTAAATGGTGGGAAGCTGTGTTTTAGGGGCAGCATGACACGGATTCCGGGATGGCCTCTGGAGACAGCCGCCCCAACCCCAACCAATTCCTACTCACGTGGCCTCTGGCTGTCCAATAGCTCCCGCGTCTCCCGTTCCCCATCTGCAAGGCGGGGATAGCAATAGTACTGTCTCCTAGAGTTGGTGGGAAGTTTCACTGAGCTAAGATTTGCAAAGGGCCTGGGACAGAGTCCGGCACACAGCAAATGCCACATGAGCGCCTTCCCTATAAAAGCTTACCCGGGGCCAGGCGCGGTGGCTCACGCCTGTAATCCCAGCAGTTTGGGAGGCCGAGACAGATGGGTCACCTGAGGTCAGGAGTTCAAAAGCAGCCTGATCAATATGGTGAAACTGCATCTCCACTAAAAATACAAAAATTAGCCGGGCGTCGTGGCGCACGCCTGTAGTCCCCACTACTCGGGAGGCTGAGACAGAATTGCTTATACCGGTGAGGCAGAGGTTGCCATGAGTCAAGATAGCGCCACTGCACTCCAGCCTGGGCGACAGAGCGAGACTCCGTCTCAAAACAAAAACAAAACAGCCAGGTGCGGCGGCTGACGCCTGTAATCCCAGCACTTTGGGAGGCCGAGGCGGGCGGATCACGAGGTCAAGAGATCGAGATTATCCTGGCCAACATGGTGAAACCCCGTCTCTACTAAAAATACAAAAATTAGCCGGGTGCGGTGGCGTGCGCCTGTGGTCCCAGCTACTCGGGAGGCTGAGAGGCGGAAGAATCTCTTGAACCCAGGAGGTGGAGGTTGCTGTGAGCCGAGATTTCTCCACTGCACTCCAGCCTGGCGACAGAGCAAGATTCCGTCTCAAAACAAACAAAAAACACACAAAAAAGCTCGCCTGGCCTCGGTTTCCCTTCAATGAGCAGAACCTTAGGGTCTACGGTTCGACGCAGCGTGAACTACAACTCCCAGTGTGCCACGTAGCCGTTCGCAGATACTCGCGCATGCCCGCCACCGCGAGAGCTCGCAAACTACAACTCCCAGCGTGCTGCAGGGCCGTTCGCAGAGGCTTGCGCATGCCCGCCGCGAGGCAGCACAAACTACAACTCCCAGAGTGCTGCGAACCCAGCTTCCCGGACCCTTGGTCCGGGTCAGCCGCTTCCCAGATCTAGGAATTCTGGCCGCACCCACCGTGCTTTCTGTGGAGTAGAGTTAGCAACTTCTGCCGAGGTAGAGAGCCGGGCGCTGCCTGCTCCATGCTCCGCAGACTGGTCCGAGCGGCGGCCCGGGTACATGGGGCGCTCTGGGCGCGGGCGTCGCGGCCCACGTGGTGGGTGGACCTGCACAGCCACACGGTGGGGGATGACATAGACAGCGAAGACCGGCGTGAAGGCCGGGGGTCGTGGAGGCGACATCACAGCGCTGTCCGTGGTGGCGTAGGACTAGGTGGCTCTGCTGGAGCTTAAAACCCATTTATTCCTGATGTTCCATTTTTGGAAAGCTAAGCATGTAGAAGGTATTTATGTCCTGCTGCTCAAGATCATCGCCAAGGTCTAATGGCAGAAATTCAAAAAACTGCAGCCTCCAGCATAAATGGGTTTAATGAGCTCTTGCCACAGGGTAGCTTGCCCTTTGCGTGTGCGCTGCTCAGTCATCCGATTTAGAAATGCACGGTGGCTCAAGCCTGTAATCTCAGCACTTTGAGAGGCCGAGGTGGGCGGATCACCTGAGGTCAGGAGTTGGAGACCAGCCTAGCCAATATGGTGAAACCCCATCTCTACTAAAAATACAAAATTTAGCTGGGCATGGTGGCAGTTGCCTGTAATCCCAGCTACTGAGAAGGCTGAGGCAGGAGAATCACTTGAACCCGGGAGGCAGAGGTTGCAGTGAGTCAGATCACCCCACTGCACTCCAGCCTGGGCAACAGAGCAAGCCTCCATCTCAAAAAAAAAAAAGAAAAAAGAAAAGAAATACAGATTCGCAGGTCCCACACAGGGCCCACTGAGGAGAACCTGCATTCCTACAGTCTCGTCAGGTGGTTGGGTGCACCCTGCATTGTCATCCAGCTATCCCCTGCCCCTGAGATGGGTGATGTCCCGTATTGCAGAGGAGGACTCTGAGAGGTGGAGGGAGGCACTCCAGGCCCCATACCTAGTAAATGGCAGAACCCAGGTTTGAACCCGGGTCTACTGAGTGTGAAACCCACAAGGCTGCCTGAGAGCATCAAGCTCAGCCTCTGACGACACTGGGTGGCAGCTGGATACGTGCTCAGTCAAAATGGTTCACTCCCTAGGTTATTAGGGAGTGTTCTCCTGCACTGCACAGAAGGCAAACGGGAAATAGATGTAGAAAGGGGGAGGCCCTACAGGCTGCACCTCGCAGGGAGGGGTTCTCATAACCTAGGGAGTGTCTCAGGGTACAGTGACCCCCAGCCCCAGCCCTGGGTTGTGAGTTGCCGTAGTGAACCACTTTGACTGCAGGGGTGTGCACACCCCTCAGTGGGGCCAGGACAAGCCATGGGGTTGCCAGTGGAGCCCCGAGGGCCTGTCTGCTAAGGGGTTAAGGGATGGCTGGGGCTGAGCATGTATCCAGCTGCCACCCAGTGTTGCCAGAGGCTGAGCTCGATGCTCCCAGGCAGCCTCGAGGGTTAACAAGTCACTGCCACCGAGGAGAGGCTGGGAGGCCCTTGAGTTGATGGAATCTACAGTGGTGCCCTGGGAAGCAGAGGATGGGGAGAGGCCTGTGGCTCATGGGGAAGGTTGAGGAGGAGCCCTCTTGCAGGCTGAGTGGAAGCCCCCCAGGCAGGGAAGGGAGTGCCAGCTCACCAGGCAGGGGACCTTCAGGCTTCAGGAGCAGAAGCTGACTGGTGAGGAAGGTCTTCAGGGTGCAGGTGGGGATGTGGGTGAAGCCTGTGGGAGGCTCTGGGGATGGCAGGGGCAGGGAGGGCAGAGGCCAGGTCCTGCCAGCCCTGAGTGCCATGCCAGGGACTTGATTTCACAGTTGGGGGGGGCTGCAGTGGGCTTTACAGCAAGAGCAGGAGCCCTCCTTGCCCTCCAGTTGTACCCTCATGCCCTGTCCAGCCTTCCAGTCACCCCTCCTGATGAGGAGAGGAAGTCAGCAGAGAAACCACAGGCCCCACCTGCAAAGGGCTGAAAGGAAAGGAAGTGAGACAGGTGTGAGGTCTGCCAGGGACTGGGTCAAACCACAAGAGAGGTTCTTAGGGGGAGTGGGGAGGCAATGGCCCAGGGGCGGTGGGCGCAGAGTTGACTGAGGGGTCTGAGGAGCTGCATGTGTGGTTGCCAAGCCCAGAGTATGCAGCGGAGGACAGGGCTCCAAGCCCACTTGGCTGCTCACTGGAGCTTCAGGCCAGGGGTCTCACCTGGGCTCCGGGTGCGCTCCAGCCCATGTGACACAGGGAAAGCACCAAAGCGTGGATGGATGGTGCTGCTGGCCTGAGTGTGTGAGCACAGCAGCGTCCCTGTCCCTCCGAGGAGCTGCAGAGAAGGCTGCAGAGCTGGAGGGCTGGAGTGGACCCTCTGTGCCCTCCAACACCATGGCCAACCTCATCTCTGGTAAGCACAGGGTGACTTTTGTCTGCCTGGTGAGTCCTCAGTGCACATGTGTGCTGTGACACTCATGGACCACATCCCTGCATTTCTGTCCAGTTCAGCTGGTGGGGAGTCCTGGAAGAAGGGAGTGGGGGCTGCAGCTCTGCTCCTCCCCAGCTCCTCTTCTGAGGGCCCCCAGGGCCTCTGGGCCAGTGCCAGGCACCTCTCCAAACAACCCTGGCTCTGGGTTCCTGCAGCCACACCTTCCTCTCGCCCCTTGGCCTGTCTGGGCTTCCCTGCTCCTGCCTCCTTCTGTAAACCGCCCCAGGATTAAACACTTGCAATTTCCCAGTGTGCGTGTGGTATCTGTTTCCAGCCGGGGCCTGACGACTGCAGGTGCCTCAGCTACTTGTTCCCCAAGAGGCAGCATTGCAGCTTCTCCAGCGGGTGATACTCTGCGGAGGGGCCTCGGGGCTCAGGTGTGCAGGCTGGGTGTGGCCCCGCCATTCCCAGCACAGGGCAGCCATCCTAGACACGTGTGTTTCATGGGATGGTTTTCTGGCACGTGGCACTGAGGTGACTCGAAGATGCTGTTTCCTCGCTGGCCTCAGGCACTTGTGAGCTGGCCGTGGCCTTAGGGCTTAGCCTGGCCACACTGAGCAGGGGCACGTGGCTTCCAGACTCAGTGCCAAGAACTGCCCTCCTTCTGTCTCAGTGCTGTGTCACTGCTGGCACTGGGGCTCCCAGCTCCTCCTCCCAGGAGTGCCACCTCCACGTCTATGAGCACGATGGGGCGGTTCAGGTCAGGAGCAGGCACCACTCACCTGGGGCCCTGGACATCCTCGCAGGCTGCTCAGGTGCGAACCCACTTCCCAGGCACCAGGCTGGGACCTGCAGAGAGGAGAAAGAGACAGCCACCGAGAAGCTAGTTGGAATGGTGGCCTCTCCAGGGGAGGAGGGAAAGAGACCAGAGCCCCAGATTTGCCACGTGGGGGCGGCAGCGGCTCCGGCTGGCCCCAGGATGGCCGGCAGACATGTGGGAGGGTGCTTGGTCCCTGCTGCCCTCTAGTGGGCACCTGGAGCATTCCCGTGCTCCCGAGGGAGCCAGACAGCAGCATCTGAAGAGTTAACAGGGGAGAGGATCCCAGTGCCCCCCAGCTGAGACGTCTGTCCCAGAACCGAGGAAAGGCTCCAAGGCCCAGGGCTGGGGGGAGTAGGCACAGGACTCAGAATAGGGCTCCTTACTCCAGAGAAGCCCCCCATTCCACCAGGAGGTGCCCCTGGTCCCCTCAGCCCTCATTCCCTCCCCAACCCACAGATCGCAGGGGTGCTCCCACCCCCTCCCAGCCCTGCCCTGCAGCACCCTGGACCTGGCTGAGCCGGAAAGGATGATCACACGGGCATCCGGAGCCCCTGCCAGCAGGTCGGCCAGCTCAGTTGCCTGGAGAACTGACACGGCAGCTGGGGGCTGGGTCCTCTTCATCGACACCTATGCCAGCTAGGCCTGGCCACCACTGTGCACCCCCCACCAGCCTGATCCTCTTCCTGTGCCCCTGGCCCCATCCTGGGGTTCAGCCCCCTCTGATTTGTGCCATGGCACCCATCAGCCGCCAGACCTGTCACAGGAAGGACACGCATGGTCCTAGGCTGAGACACAAAGGGAATTACTGGCCCAGGTGAGAACCCCTAGTCCCTGGACCAGCCCAACAGCAGAGATGCCCCCACCCCCAAGCTCTGAGAACCTCCCAGAGCAGCACCGGAGCCTGCTGGCCTGGCCTGGCCTGGCCTGGAGACATGCGCCCCACAAGGCTCCTGTGAGTCCTTCCACCTGCTCCTTGCCACCTGGGAACCAGGTGAGGAGGCCGCAGCATCAGAGCTCTGCTGTTCGCCAGACACTAGTTAGGCAGCAGCTATCTCTCCAAGCCTTGTGTCCCTCACCAGTGAAATGGGAGCAGTGGCATCTCCTTCATAAATTTGTCATGCAGCCTAAGTGAGGAGACATGTATTTACCCTTGGCCCATGGCCAGCATTTGGCCCATGGTCAGTGCCTGATGAAACTGAGTTAAATATGCACCCCCAGCCCCTCCCAGAGCACGGCACGGAGGCTCCGGCACCACGGCCTGACTACTCGGGGGCCCCAATCTCCAGAGCCAGTCACTAGCCAGGTCTCCTGACCCCTTGTGATTCCCCAGGCAGCCAAGCCCAGACCCCTCCTCCCTCCACACTTCCCTCTATCCTGGCCCCTCTGACTCTGCCTGCACCTCCTCCCCAGGTGCACCTCCTGGTCCAGACCTACGGGGCCCACATCCCGGAGCACTGTGACTCTGTGATAGAGGGAGACCCGTCTCTAAAAGAAATAAATAGCCCAGGTGTGGTGGCTCATGCCTGTAATCCCAGCACTTTGGGAGGCTGAGGTGAGTGAATCACTTGAGATCAGGAGTTTGACACCAGCCTGGCCAAATGTGTATATTAGAAAGGGGAATAAACCCCGTCTCTACTAAAAATACAAAAATTAGCTGGGCATAGTGGCATGCATCTGTAATCCCAGCTATTCTGGAGGCTGAGGGAGAATTGCTTGAACCCGGGAGGCAGAGGTTGCAGTGAGCCAAGATTGTGCCACTGCACTCCAGCCTGGGCAACAGAGTGAGACTGTCTCAAAGTAAATAAATAAAATAAAATATTCTAGGCTGGGTGTGGTGGTTCATGCCTGTAATCCCAGCACTTTGGGAGTTCGAAGTAGGCAGATTGCTTGAACCCAGGAGTTCAAGATCAGCCTGGCAACATAGCAAAACTCTGTTTCTACTAAAAAGTACAAAAATTAGCCAGATGTGGCAGCATGCACCTGTAGACTGAGCTACATGGGAGACTGAGGTGGGAGGATCGCTTGAGCCCAAGAGGTAGAGGTTGCAGTGAGCTGAGATTGTGCCACTGCACTCCAGCCTGGGTGACACAGAGAGACCCCATCTCAAAAAAATAAAAAATAAAATATTCAAGAAATTATAAGGCAAGATAAAAAATTTGTAAGGAAACTTGAAACTATAAGAAGGCCACATAGAAATTCTAGAACTGAAATATATGATAAGAACCTAGTGGCTAGGTTTAATAGTAGACGAGACACAGCTGGAGAGAGAATTAGTGAAGAGGGAGATAAATCAAGAGAAAATATCCAGACAATCAAAAAGTGGTTCTTTGAAAATGGTAATAAAATTGATAAACCACTAATAAGACTGATCAAGAACAAGAGAAAGGAAGTATAAATAATTTGTAATAATATTAAAAAGAATAAAGAGGCTGGGCATGGTGGCTCACACCTATAATCCCAGCACTTTGGCAGGCCAAGGTGGGTGGATCACCTGAGGTCAGAAATTCAACACCAGCCTGGCCAACATGGGAAAACCCTGTTTCTACTAAACATACAAAAATTATCTGGGCCTGGTGGTGTGCACCTGTAATCCCATCTACTCAGGGGGGGACTGAAGCAGGAGAATTGCTTGAACCTGGCGGGTAGAGGTTGCAGTGAACTGAGATTCTGCCACTGCACTCCAGCCTGGGCAACAGCTAGATTCCGTCTCAAAAATAATAACAATAATAAAATAAAAAATAAAAATTACCTGTATTTTTATCATGCCAGAATAACCATTAATATTTTTTTGTTTATTTCATTCTGGATATGTATATATGTATATGAATCTGTGTGTGTATTAAAGACGGGAGATATACAATCACATCAGTGCTTTGGAAAGCCCTTAAGAGGAATCCCAGAAGGAGGATTAGTTTTAAAATGGTAAAGTAGAGACTTCAGCTTAAGAGTGTTAACTTTGAGATCCCAGGAAGAGGTGGTTAAGAAGCTGCCAGGAATACAAGCACCGAGCTCAGGAGAGGGCTTGGACTTGTGGCACAGCTGTGAGAAACCACAGCATTGGGGAAATCCTGGACTTCAGTGAGAGTAAGGAGAGAAGAGAAGAGTCCATGTGGCAGACAAACGGGAGCCTCCCTCTGTCCCTCCATCTCTTAGAAGAATCCAGATCCATACTCTGGGAAGATCCAGTATACAGGGGTTCCCCGGACCCCAGAACTGCTCTCCTGTGCTTGAGAAGGTGGTAACTCAGACAATCAAAAGAAAGCCAGCAACTCTAAACCCCTGTAATCCCATGTCTCCCATGTGGCCCTGTCTGCGGCAAGCACCAGCAAAAGTGTACTTTATACACACACACACACACACACTGGGATTACAGGTGTGAGCCACTGCACCGGGCCAAATAGTGCATTATATTGGTTATCCATTGCTGCATAACAAATGACTCCAAAACATAGTACCTTAAAGCAACAGTCATTATTTCCCATAGCATTGTGGGTTAGGAATCGGCGAGTGGGCTGGGTGTGGTGGCTCATGCATATCTGTAGTCAATCCGAGAAACTTGGGAGGCCGAGGCAGGCAGACTGCTGGAGCCCAGAAGTTTGAGACCAGCCTGGCCAACATGGTGAAACTCCATTTCTACTAAAAATACAAAAATTACCTGGTGGTGGCGGCGCTTGTAATCCCAGCTACTCGGGAGGCTGAGGCAGGAGAATCACTTGAACCCAGGAGGTGGAGGTGGCAGTGAGCCAAGATTGCACCACTGCACTCCAGCCTGGGCAACAGAGTGAAAGCTCTGTCTCAAAAAAAAAAAAAGGTAACCAGGCGTGGTGGCTCATACCTGTGGTCCCAGCTACTGGAGAGGCTCAGGTGGGAAGATCTCTTGAGCCCAGAAGGGCAGTGCCTCAGTGAGCTGAGATCGAGCCACTGCTTTCCAGCTTAGATGACAGAATGAGACCCTGTCTCAAAAAAAATGAAGGTGGGGAGAGGCACAATTTGGGAGTGGCTTACAGCTGGAAAGTTCTGGCATGGAGTTTCTCATGAGGTTGCAGTCAAGACCTCAGCGAGAACAGCATTATCTGCGTTATCTCTTGCAGGTGGTGCGCTCACACAGCTGTAACACTGCTGCTGCTGCTGTTGGCAGAGACCTCAGTCCTGTCCGTGTGAGCATCTCCTCAGGGCTTCCTGAGTGTCTCCATGGTCTGATGGCTGGCTTCTCCTAGGGTGAGCAGTCTCAGAGACCAAGGCAGGAGCTACCTTTTTATGACCTCCTCACCTGCGCCACTTCCTACTTGACACCCAAGTCAGCTTTGACTCAGTGTGGCAAGGCCTACAGAGGGCTGAACACCAGGAGATGAGGACCAATGGGGGCTCTCCAGGGGGCTGCCTACTACATTTATAAATGCTGGTTGGGCATAGGGCCTGAGCTCATGAGAGGTCCCTGTCCTCACAGAAGTCAGGCCCCTGGTGGGGGCACCCACCAGGTGATGCAGATAAACCTGCCAGAGTGGGCTGCAAGTGGGCCCAGGATCGAGCGGACCTGGGACATCCCTGGAGAAAGGGCTTTGCTGTGGTGAGAGGAGGAAGAGCCTTCAATGCTGGGGACAGGAGCCTCCAAGTCAGGGCTTGTCTCTGGCTTGTCTCGTCTCTTTCTCTGGCACATGCAGTCATGTACACACACTTGCCCAGAACACCTCTGGATGGACAGACGTTCACATAGCTGGTGACAGTGTTTACTCTCCTTTGCACTGTTTGTGACACATGGGCATGTGTTGCCTATTTTGAAAAGTTCTAAGAAAAATCAGAGAAAGAGGCCCACTTGGGCCAGTGAATCCAACTGTGGGAACCACCATTGCAAGGAGATTTGGTGCACAGGCTGTCTCCTCTTACTGTAAATAATGCAGCCCCATTTGAGCCTGATATCATGTTGTCTATTCTCGGTGACCTTGAACCATGCACTGTCTCTTCCCTGGGAGGAAGCATTCATCTGCCTGTTAATCCCAGCTGCAAAGCCTGACACTCAGAGACCCGTGAAAACAGACAGAACCCATGGGCCAATCACTGTGGAAACTAGCCAGAGAGTGAGGGAGTCAACTGGCCAATCAGAGAGTCAGGAACACTGACTGGCCAATCAGAGCATGAGGGGCATCAACTGGCCAATCAGATAGTGGAGTCAATTAGCCAATCAGAGGGTGAGTGACATGGCTGGCCAATCAGAGTGAAATAGTTGACTAGCCCCTCAAGAGTAAGGGAGTCTACTAGCCAACCAGAGAGTGACGGTCAGCCAATCAGAGGATGAGGATGTGGCTGGCCAATCAGGGAGTGAAGGAGTCTCCTGACCTGGCTGAGTTCCACACCCACCAGAACATGTGGAGGCTAGATGGGAGGGTCTGCTCTGGAGGGGAAAGGGCAAGCCGCGCATCCTCCCCCAACACACACTCTCAGGGAACTCTGGTGGTCCCAGCAGCCCCTGGTGTGTCTTCTCCAGTGTCATATCCCCAGAGCCCAAGTCCATCTGCGTGAGAGGCCTGAAGTTAGGCTGTCACCCCTCACTTCCCAGGAAATTCCCAGGAGAAGCCTCCTCAACAGAGGCTGGGAGCCAGGAGGAGAGGAAGAGTCCCCCACACCTTTCCTCCCAAACTGAGAGGACATGCCCACAAAACCAGCCCCCGATTCCAACACGGAGACCCAGGGAAACCCCCATCCCTGTGCTGACCTGGGAATAAGAAGTAGTCCTGCTCTGTTCGCAGATGACTTCACGGTGGACACAAACACGCACGCGATGCTCACGCACACTCGTTCACCGAACACCTCTGGATGGACAGCTGGTGACAGCGTTTGCTCGCCTTTGCGCTGTTTGTGATAGATGGGCATATGTTACCTATTTTTACAAGTTCTAAGAAAAGCCGGGCATGGTGGCTCACGCCTGTAATCCCAGCACTTTGGGAGGTCAAGAGATCGAGATCATCCTGGTCAACGTGGTGAAACCCCGTCTCTACTAAAAATACAAAAAATTAGCTGGGCATGGTGGCGTGTGCCTGTAATCCCAGCTACTCGGGAGGCTGAGGTAGAATTGCCTGAACCCAGGAGGCGGAGAATGCGGTGAGCCGAGATCACGCCATTGCACTCCAGCCTGGGTAACAACAGCGAAACTCTGTCTAAAAAAAAAAAAAGTTCTAAGAAAAATAAAAGGCATATATGGCACACAGCACAAGTGATTCATGTAAGGACAAACTGGCACAATGTTCCCACATGGAATGGTAAACTTTAAAACACCAGGAGGAAGAGGAGGCCCCACTCACCCCCCAGCTTTGTCCTCACTGGGCCCCACCAAAACCGTGTCACCCCCTTGAGCCCCCAGGAGCTTCCTTAACCTTTGAATCAATAAAGAGACCTAGGGGCGGGGCAGGGGGGCAGGGAGACCAAGCCAAGAGAGGCTACCACCTTCCCTAGCACACCTCTCAAGACTTGGGAAGGGCCCCCAAACCCCAAACAGGCGGCTGCACAGGCCCTGGGAACCCTTCTCCTGCAGCCACCTCAACTGTCCATCTGCATAACGGTGGGCGTGCCCCAGCCAATAAGCCCCCTCAGCCAGGTCCACTTTGAGGCAGGCAAGGAGTGGTCCCAAACTCCTCCACCATGGAATGACACCCCCACCCCACCCTTCTGGGACTTCCACCTCTGTCAGCTCCACACTTCTCCCAGGTTGCTGCAGAGAGGAAGGGTTGGGGCCAGAAGCAGCAGCAGCCTGTGCCAGGACAAGAACAGAGGTCTGTGCGCCTGCTCTGCCCAGAAGCGCTCAGTGAAAAGTACCTAGCAGGCTTGAAGACACAGGAGGGGGCGGGGGACACATCTGGCTTGGTCCGATCCTTGCCCCCCACACCTGCAAACTGCAGGGGCCTCTCATGCCCTCGTCTCAGCTCTTCCCCACCAAGCCTGCCCTCCCAGGAGAGTGGACAGAACAGAGGCCTCGGAGGCCATGGCCTGAGATGGCATCTGTCTGGCTCCAGGTGATCTGGGTGGGTATCTCTGCCGCTCTGGGCCTCCGTCTCCCCTTCTGTAAAATGGATGAAGGATATCCATTTAGTAGGGCCACTGCGGGACTGGAGAGCGTTTAACAGACACCTCCTTTTCTCCCAGGGACATCCCAGGAATGGAGGCAGCAGTGCTCTTGCGCCTGCTGGGGGCGTGGCGAGTTTAGGCCACACACTTGAGAGGCGCCTCCACCTAACTCTGCCACCCGAGCTGCCTCACCTAGACAACTTACTTCCTCTTTTCTGAACTCTTCTCATCACTAAGGGGCAGTTAAACCAGTTATTCCGGGGCAGGGGAGCCTCCCAAATATCTAGGGACACACACAGGAAGCTGGATTCTTGGCTCTGCCTCCACCCCTTTTTACCCCCAGGGCTCCTTCCTGGCCAGGACCCCAGCCAGGCCCAGGGAAGGGATTTCCAGCCTCTCAAAGGCCCTGGCCCTGACTGCCCAATCCCAGGACGCACAAAGGGAAGCTCAGCCACCTCTCACCTCCCTCCCACCTGCTGAGGACTCAGATGACCACAGAGTGGGAGTCTCAGCTGCTGAGACCAGGAGGGCTCCGCTGAGGGCCTCCAAGGCACAGGAGCCCCAGGCCAGGGCCGGGGACCAGCCAAAGCTGACGCGAACACCCTGTATGTGCTTCGGGCTGCACTGCCGCGCGCAGTGTCTACGAAGGCCAGGTGTGCGCGTACCTGATGTAGATGCTGACCCCTGCCAGGGTCAGGGCACCTGGGGGAGAGATGGGAGGGTGGCTACTCTGTGTCTGCTCTGTGGGCCCAGGCGGTCCTGCAGACATGGCCTCAAGCCCCAACTCCACCGGTATTTAGGCAGAGCTGCAGGCCGCGCACCACCCCTCCTGTGCTGGTTACTCTCCCAGACACCCCTCCTGCTTGGGTCTGGACGGGGCTATGGCTGCTCAACTGCAGGTCGGGGAGTGGAGCTTTAAGAGGCTCCAATTCAGTCCTCAAACCCCAGAGACCTCATCCTGCAAAGCCTCCTTCAAACAGCACCACCTGCCCCTCAACATGGTTCCTGCTCACAGAACTGCCTCCCACACACCCTGCACCCTCCATGGCCCCCAGCACACATGCACACGCACACAGACATACAAGTATATATTTGCACACCTGTACACACATACACACACACCTGTACACATTCCAACACACGCACACATGTACACACCTGTACACATTCACGCATGCACACACACATGCACATGCCTGTACACATTCCCATACACGCACACACGTACACATTCACACAGCTGTAGACATTCACACATGCACACACCTGTACACATTCCAACACAGGCAAATGCACATACACATTTGCACACATACGCACACCTGTACACATTCCAACATGCACACATGTACACATGCACACACCTGTACACATTCCAACGCAGGCACACATGTACACATGCACACACCTGTACACATTCACACATGCACACACGTACACATTTGCACACATGCACACACCTGTACACATTCCAACACAGGCACACACATACACATTTGCGCACACGCCTGTACACATTCCAACACACACACACATGCACACACCTGTATACATTCCAACAGACACATGAACACATGCACACACCTGTACAAATTCACACACCTGTACACATTCCAACACAGGCACACATGAACACATGCACACACCTGTACACATTCGCACACATGCACACACCTGTACACATTACAACACATGCACACATGTACACACCTGTACACATTCACACATGCACATGCACGTACAGACTTGCACACATGCATACACATAAACACACCTGGACATATTCACACACATGCACACACCTGTACACATTCCCACACGCACACACATACACATCATGTACACATGCACACAACTGTACACATTCACACACATGTACACACATAGCCATGGCATCTGTTGGCAGCAGGGCTGCCCAGGGCTCTGACCAGAGTCCCTACCTTGCACCCCCGGCCTCCTCTTCCTGACACCTTCCCTACCTCTGGGGCTAATGTCCCCCTCCCTCTGACTCTCCTTCCAGTGCCCCCTGTCCTCCCAGCTCTGAGTTTGGGCCCTTCCTCAGGGGAGGATGCCAGCCCTGGGCCCTCCTTGCTCCTCCCTTCTGCTCTCCACATGGTCAAAACTGTCGTCAAAGGAATGAAGCCAGCTCTGCACAGGATGGCGGGCGCCAGGTTTCATCCGGCAGTTCAAGGTCCAGCAAAGAGCTGGGCAGGGGCCTTGGCCAGTGCCTCCAGGGTGTATTCCTGTCTATTGGGCTTGGAGGAACCAGCCCGAACTGCCACCCCCTACCCACAGCTTTGGGCTAACGAGAAAGCCTGTCCTTGGTGCCAGCTGTAGGGAATGTTAGCCGGTGGGCAGGTGGCCCTGACTTCCCCCCTGGCACTTCCTGGGTGCACAGGGTCCCCTCTGTGCACTACCCAGCCAAAAGAAGGCCCCAAGCTGACATTCAGGGCCAGATCCAGATCTCACTGATGCCCAGCAAAGGGCCACAGCCCAGCCTGCTCTTCTGCAATTCCTCCTGGAAACCAAACCTGGGAAGAAGATCGGGAGAGAGAGTGGGAAGAGAAGATGGAGGGAGGCCAAGGGACAGAGGACACGCGGCTGCCGGCCCAGCGGGGCAGTGCAGCAACAGAAATGATGGATTTAATTTGGGGAAGAATGTGAAGCCAAATTGAATGAAGTGGGCCCTGGGAGCAGCAGCGGTGGGGTCAGTCCCCAGCAGCAGAGGCTGACCATGCGGTGGGAGGTGCCTGTCCCTGCCTGTTGCACTGGTCTCATCTGCAGCCCAAGGCCCCACTTCCCGGCAGGCCACCCACCAGCTGAGCCCTCTCCAAACACCAGCTGCCTCCTCTAGCCTGGAGGAGGACATGGCCTTTCTCCCAAAATGAAGGTGAAGCATAAGCTGGGACCTGAAGCACCTCCCGACTCCCAGTGACAGGGCCTGGGCTCAGCTCCTGGCAGGCCTCTCTCCCAGCCTCCCGCCTCCTGCCTCCCACCTCCTGAAGGAGGCCTCCCCAGCGGGCGCCTGCAAACTCAACCTGGGCAACTGTAGAGAACTCTGTCACCCCCCAGGCTCTCCATGATCCTGTCTCAGGGTAGGGCGCTCAGTCCATCTGGGAACCCCCACCTCCCTCCCCATCCTTGCACTGCTAATGAGGGGTGAAAGGCGGGCTGACCCGCCTTGGTGTGACACCCTGAGAGCCCTCTGCTTCAGCCCACAGCTGACCCTTATTCTCAGAGTGGAGGCCCCTCTGCCTGGGGAGTCTGGAGTCCCAGTGGAGCCCCCACCCACCCACCAGCTGCCTCCAGACCCTCTGCCCCCTCGCTGGTGCCTTCACTCCCAGGCAAAATAGATACTATGTCCTTCATCACCATCTCCCGGTTATAATCCCAACCCCATCCCTCCCGTCACCATCTCCCGGTTACAATCCCAACCCCATCCCTCCCGTCACCATCTCCCGGTTACAATCCTAACCCCATCCCTCCCGTCACCATCTCCTGGTTATAATCTCAACTCCATCCCTCCCGTCACCATCTCCTGGTTATGACTCCACCCCAATCACTCCTGTCACTGGCTCTCCAAGGTCCTCTTAATTGGATTCTGAAAACTCACAGATGGGCCCAGGGTCAGGTCATTTGAATTCTTCCTGGTTTCATTGTCTAGAGGAGACCTTGGCTTCAATGTTGATCTCCTGTGGCTGTGACCAGCACTAAGGCTGCTGGTTTCCCCAATCTCTGCTCCCAGCTGGGCTTCCTCAGTGACAGAGGCATCCCCAAACGCCCAGATAAGCAGGGAGGGCGCCCCCAGCCCTGGGCAGCCTGCTCTTTGTGGCTACAACCTTGATGGTGGAGCTGGCCTAAGATACCAGGCCTGGCTCAGGCTGGCCCTGGATGACGGGGGCAGCTGAGGACAGGCTGTCAGGAGTCCCCAGTCCATCTTCAGGCACAGTCAGTGCTGGGCAGTTGGTAGAAACTGAGGAGATGGCACCTGGGGGGGGTGGAGGGGAGCCCAGGACCTCATCGGCTTCGGCCCTCTCCAGGCCTCAGATCTCTCACTTGTAGCTGGGACTGGGAGCCTTCGGAGGAGCACGTGGCCCAGCACCTGGCAGGCAGCAGGAGCTGGAGCCATGTCAGCTGATGGGTGGTTACCGGTTACAGTCTCAGTTTATGCTGGGGTCAGTGCTGAAGCCTCTGGTGCCCTGTCCCACCTGCCTTCATTCTTGGCCCTGCCTCGTCTGTGCCAAACCCCTGTGCCCTTGCTCCTCCCAGCAGGACAGTCTGGGAAGGAGAAGGGAGTGATGAGGGGCTTTCTCCAGGACCCCACCATGATCTGATGCAGCAGAGCAGACCCTGGGCTTGCCCTGGAGGTCCTCATGCCCCCCCATGCCAAGAACCTGGGACGCTGGTGCTCCCCCTGCCCCAGGCTCTGACCCAGAAGCCCTGCTCCTATCATGGTGCTATGGTTTGGTGCCCGGCCCAAATCCCATGTTGAAAGGTGATCCCCAGTGTTGAAGGCGGGGCCTAGTGGGAGGTGATTGGATTATGGCAGTGGCTTCTCAGGAATGGGTTAGCACCATTCCTCTTGGCACTGTTCTCTGGATAGTGAGTTCTGAGATCTGGTTGTTTAAAAGTGTGTTGCACCTCCCCACTCTCTCTTCCTCCTGTTCCGGCCATGGGAAATGCTGGCTCCCCACCTTGGCCTTCCACCCACGATTGTCATTTTCCTGAGGCCTCCCCAGAAGCCGAGCAGATGCCAGCATCATGCTTCCCCTACAGCATGCGGAATCATGAGCCACTTAAACCTATTTTATTTATAAGCCCAGCTAATTTTTGTATTTTTAGTAAAGATGGGGTTTCACCATGTTGGTCAGGCTGGTCTTGAACTCCTGTCCTCAGGTGATCCACCCACCTCAGCCTTCCAAAGCACTGGGATTACAGGCGTGAGCCACCGCGCCGGGCCTAAACCTCTTTTCTTTATAAATTACTCAGTCTCAGGCATTTATTTATAGCAATGGGGGAACAAATACACATGGTTACCTTCTGGGACCACAGGGAGCTGCCTGCCATGGCTCCATCCCCAGCTCAGCACCCGTCCAGAGGGGAGCAGGGGACAAGGGCAGCAGAAGAAGCAGCACCCACTCCCAGGACCTGTGGCCCAGCTCCCATCTTTGAAGCTACTCCCCCAGGGCCCCAGACTCACTCCCCAGCAGGAAGCAGCAGCGGGTGAAGAGCAGCAGAGGCACTCTCTGGGCCAGGGAGCTGAGCAGGCCGCAGATCCAGCCTCACACAAGAAGGAGCAGCTCAGGGGCAGGACCACCATGACTGCACGGTGCAGCGCTGAGGGAGAGGGGGCTCACGTGAGAGTGTCCCCGTGGGCCCTTCAGCACCTGTGTTCCGGAGGACAGCGACCTGCTGTTCCACCTTCTAGGAAAAGCAGCTGGCACTCCTCTCTGTGAAAGCCAGTGGACCCTCCCAGTGGCCCCCTCTCACCCTGGTAGGGGCTTCCTGAGGCGAGGAGAGGGAGTTGTCCCCAGCATCCTCCCAACCCCCATCCGGGAGCCTCACATGCCCCCCAACGTGACAGGTGGGAGGCGCCAGCCAGATAGACAACAGCCTATCTCGAAGAGTCCTAAATGGGGAGCCGGGAGACTGCAGGGCCACGCTTGGAACTGCCTGGTTCCCACTGAGAGGGAAGCTGAGATAGGGGAAGAACAGGACAGGCTGGGAGCCGAGCCCCTGTGGTTAGGGACAGCAGCACAGCACCGAGAGAGGAAACGTCCTCAGGGAAATGTAGGGGCAGGTGGAAGCAGTGCTGTGGGGTGGGGATGGGGATGGCTGGGATCCAGACTGCCTGAATATTTGGGAAGGAAGGGAAGGTGGCCCCACCCAGGACTCACAGATGAGGTGCTGCACTGAGGTGGAGGCGTCCAGGCTCTCGCTGGCGAAGGTATGTAGCTGTTCTGCCCTGGGAAGCAGAAGACTCAAAGCTTGGGGCCCGAACGCCAGGAGCACCCAGCAGCCCACCCAAGCCCAGGGGACTCCCCCCCACCCCCCCCACCCCCCGCACCACAGGGCCCTGCCATATTCTTTCTCCTGCTGAAACTCTGAGCTGAGACTCCAAGTGAGATGAAAGGCCTGAGACCTTTCGTCTTTTTTATTTTCACATGCATGTGACACCTGCACAGATGCATGTTTACAATTTCAAACACTCCATGGAGGCCCCTCAGGGTCCCTCAGACAGGGGTCCCTGTAATGCATTTGTGTGTGGAAGCCAGGCTTTCCCTGAAAGGAAAAAGGTGTGTGTGAAACAGGCTCACTGGGCAGTCTCCCCGGAATCTTCGTGAGTCCTGTCTCATGGGCATACATGCTGATTCTTACACGTGTGCAGAGCCACTGGCCTACACATGCATGTCAGGAGGTATTTTTTTACTTTTTTGAGACAGAGTCTGGCTCTGTTGCCCAAGCTGGAGTGCAGTGGCGCAATCTTGGCTCACTGCAACCTCCACCTCTCAAGTTCAAGCAATTCTCCAGCCTCAGCCTCTCAAGTAGCTGGATTATAGCCGTGCACCACCACACCGCCCCGCTAATTTTTGTATACTTAGTAGAGACGGGGTTTCACCATGTTAGCCAGGCTGGTCTCCAATTCCTGGCCTCAAGTGATCCACCCGCCTAGGTCTCCCAAAGTGCTGGGATTACAGGCATGAGACACCGAGCCTGGCCCTGTAAGGTCTTTGGAGAACAGCTAGGCAGTCTGTGGGATGGATGAACATGCGGCTCCTAACTCCTCCCCAGTTGCACCTAGGAAGCCACAGCACATGCACACCACCCACGCATGCACTCACATACAAGCTCACACTCACATGCACACTGACATGGTCACACACACTCATTCACATGCACACACAATTGCACACGCTCACACAGACATTAATATTTACAAACAGCTGGGTGCTTACACATGTTCATGTTCAGCACATGCACAGACACCATATTCATATGCACATGTAGGCACACTCACACACATGCACACTCACACACATCCCTGCCGTGCCAGCGCTCGCCCTATGTAGGGGAAGCTCCCCAGGTTAGCCCCAGCTCCGGAGGAGGGAGCCAGGGGGAATGGAGGGGGCCCTGTGGACCCTCCAGTCTGCTGGAATCCCCTCCTCTCTCGCCTCTGCACACATTTGGAACCCCTGCCCCGACCCCTGCGGCCTCCGGTGTGTGGAGAGCAGCTCTGACGGTGCCTGCCAGGGAGAGGGACAAGGGGCTGCCAAGCCCACACCCTTAGGAGGGTGATCAAGAAACAACCCGTGGTCACTTGGATGAGCCCCCTCCCCTCCAGCTATACACATGGGGCTTCACCCTGCCACAGCCCGCTCCTCCGGCTGTGAGGGGCCCTAATCAGGGCTCCCTCCCTCCTGTAGCCTCCAGGCTGTCATCGCAGCAGCTATGGGGGGAGACGCTGGTTGATGAGGAGGGAACTGAGAGACCCCTTGGGGCAGAGCAGGATGCGAGGGAGGGGTCCTGGGAGAGGTCTGGAGGAGCGAAGCGGGAAGGGGCGGGGGCAGGGGTCAGAGGGAAGAGGTTCCGGAGGGAGGAGGGCGGGCGGGGAGGCCGGTTACCTTCACAGATGCGCCAGAGTCCGAGTGCGAGGAGAGCTGCGGTTGCCTGCGTCTGCCACCTCCAGGATGTACCAGTGGTCTCTGGCGACCGCCGCTGGCAGGAGCGCGAAGCGAGGGGCAGCGGGGCCGGGGGACAGCGGGGGATGTGCAGAGCCGGGGGCGGGGGGGTAGCGGGGGGGGGGCGGGTGCGAGGGAGCTGGGGGGAGGTGCGGGAGCGGGGGATGGGGGTGCGGAAGTCGGGGGGGGTGCAGGGGGCAGGCGTTTCCCTCAAGGCTCTTCTGGGCCCGTCCCCACTCCCGCCCGCACGCTGGCCTCGCGGGCCCCCTAGGGTCGCAGGGAGATAAGATCCACCTCACCTCTCTGCAGTGGCCGATCTCCCCCCTGGGCGAAAGGAGAGGAAGTCGGGAGCCGCGCGGCGAACCTGGGACCTGGGCTCCAATCCCAGCGCCCCCACTGGCTGGCCCTGTCTCTCAATCTCTCTGTGAACTCTCGGCGCTTCAGCAGCCAAACGGGAAGCACCTGCTGCCTCTGCTGTGCAGGGCTGGGAAGGAGGAGGAAGGGTCCGCCAGAGGCCGACCACAGGAGGATGGCGGGGGGCAGCAGGACCCCACGCTGCTAGAAGCATAGGAGCCTGCCGGGGCTGGCCCTGGGTCCTGGTCTGTATCAGTCCTGAGGACCAAGCAGAAGGCAGCCGGTAACGTGCAGTGGGTGAGCCCCACGGCTGGGCCCGGGGCTGCGGAAGGGAAAGACCCTGCTTTGGATTCGCTCCTAATCACGAACGCGCCCTCCAGCAAGGCCGGCCTCTGCCTCTCCAGCCACTCACCGAGCAAACAGGCAGAAAGAACCTTCTAGGACAGGCGTTGGGTGCCAGTGGGGGTGGGAGGCCGGAGAGCCTCTCATCCGGAGTAGCCGGATGAGCAATTCCCCCCGTGGGCAGCCATCGCGGGACGAAGGGACAGGCGGCGGCCATCGCGGGACGTCTGAGGTTAAATCTTAAACGAAGGAGAGGCTTCCTTTGGGTCGCCACACAGGGCTGGGCAGAGCAGAGAGGGGGTCAGAGGTTTGAGGACATCCTCCCCGATGGTGGCCCTTTGAGGTCAAGCAAAGACTCTCCTCTGGGGGTGTTTTGGCCACGTTTTCCTCTGCTGGGCTCTTGTTGGTTTGAGGATTATAGTCTGGAAGGAAAAACCATCCTAGCAGTTACTGAAACAATATTTCAAACGGAGTTCAGACCGAGTGACAGAATGGCTCAGGTATTTTGTAGCTGTCCTCAACTGCAGCACCAAAGACTGTTGCTGCAGTCGGTGGCTCTGGGGTTTTCCTGCCTCCCTTGGAGCAGGGGCTTCCCTGACAACAGCCCCTCTCTGGGAGCTGTGTGGCATCCAGCAGCCCTGCTCTCTAGGGGTGTGGGAGAGCATGTTAGACCTGGAAGGTGAAAGAACTAAACGGGTACTCACAGAGTAGCAGCCGCTAGGAAGGCAGGAGGAATAGGGATGGGGGGGTAGGGCCTCTTTCCCTCCCTAAACTGACTACAGCTGGGGAAAGAACGGTGGCTAATGAAAACTCATGGTACTCTAACACTGACCCCAACAATAAAGCTATATAACAAGAATCAATATTGCTTTGGTTGGGTCGACACCTTCTTTGTGCATGTGCAAGGTAGGAACTAACTGTGGGAAGAACAGAGGAGCCCCGTTTGGGCTGCATGCCCCACCTGCATCCTCCCAGTGACTTCCCTTCTCTCTTTTATTTTTTTAGAGACACAGTCTCCTTTTGTTGCCCAGGCTGGTCTCGAACTCCAGGGTTCAAGTGATCCTCTTGCCTTGGCTTCCCAAAGTGCTGGAATTACAGGCTTGAGCCATCAAGCCTGGCCTCTGTTTTTCTTTTTAGAGACGGGGCGGCAGTCTCCCTATGTTGCCCAGGGTGGTCTCAAATTCCTGGGTTCAAGTGGTTCTCTCGCCTTGGCATCCCAAAGTGCTAGGATTATAGGCGTGAGCCATTGCACCTGGCTTCCCCTTCTCTTGAGCTGAGAGCTGGTTTCAGAAGATCTGTTATTGCACCTACATAAAGCTTAAATAGGGCCAGATGTGGTGGCTCGTACCTGTGGTCTCAGCTACTTGGGAGGCCAAGGTGAGAGGATCGATTGAACCCAGGCAGGAGCTTGAGGCTGCAGTGAGCTGTGGTTGTGATCAAAAGAGTGAGACCCTGTCTTATAAAAAAGAAAAAAAAAAGGCCAGGTTGGGTGGCTCATACCTATAATCTCAGCACTTTGGGAGACCGAGGTGGGCAGAACACTTGAGCTCAGGAGTTCAAGACCAGCCTGGCCAACACGGTGAAACCCTGTCTCTACTAACAATACAAAAATTAGCCAGGTGTGGTGGCTCATGCCTGTAATCCCAGCTACTCAGGAGGCTGAGGCAGGAGAATCGCTTGAACCTCAGAGGTGGAGGTTGCAGTGAGCAAAGATCACACCACCGCACTCCAGCCTGGTTGACAGAGCAAGACTCTATCTCAAAAAAAAAGAAAAAGAAAAAAGAAAAAGGAGAAAACAGCTTAATGCCACTGTTATCTAGAAGGAGTTTTCAGCACCACAGAGCCACATCTCTGTAGAATAGATGTGTATTTCACTCATGCTGCAGGGCTGCGAGACAGTCACATTAGCATCTATGCCCCATCTACTTGAGAAAGCCTGGGTTCAGTGTTTCCAACCCTAGATGTGCAGCTGGAACCGCTGATTAAATTGTCCCCTAGGCATTAGGCACCAGTCTTCGAGGGGCTACTCTGATGAATTCTGCTAGTATATTTCCCTCGAAATGGACCCAAATTATACCTTGGCCCAGTGTGAAAAGGCACTGCTTGAGAACCCATTATTTTTCACTATTCATCTTTCTTTCATCAACTTAGAACGCCAAGCCTGTCCCTAGGCTGTCAGGCCCTCTTCAAAGCCAGCGTCAGACCACTACCGCTGCAGTTGGGCACAATAGGCTTTTGATAGACAAAATTCCAGTTATAAGTGACAAAAAACAATGCTGCATCCAAGCCTCCTTTAAAAAAGATGAAATCTTGCTCTGTTGCCCAGGCTAGAATGGTGCAGTGGTGTGATCATGGCTCACTTCAGCCTCAACCTCCTAGGTATGAGCGATTCTCTCACCTCAGCCTCCAGAGTAGCTGGGACCACAGACACATCACACCATGCCAGGATAATTTTTTAAATTATTTTGGTAGACACAGGGTCTTGCTTTGTTACCCAGGCTGGTCTCAAACTCCTGGCCTCAAGCAATCCTCCTAGCTTGGCTTCCCAAAGTGCTGGGATTACAAGTGTGAGCCACCACACCCTGCCTCTCTTATTTTTAATTAATTAATTTATTTTAGACAGTGTCTCACTCTGTTGCCCAGGCTGGGGTGCGACTCATTGTAACCTCTGCCTCCCAGGTTCAAGCAATTCTCCTGCCTCAGCTTCCCAAATAACTGGGACTACAGGCACCCACCACCACTCCTGGCTTTTTTTTTTTTGTATTTTTAGTAGAGGCAGAGTTTCACCACGTTGGCCAGGCTGGTCTTGAACTCCTGACCTCAAGTGATCACCCACCTCGGCCTCCTAAAGTGTTGGGATTACAAGCATAAGCCACTGCACCCAGCCCTGGTTCTCTTCTTTTAAACTCATATTTAACTACCTGGAGCCAGCAGCTGGAGGACCAGCAGGTCTGGCCCTTGTGATGCCAGTGGGCAGAGCCCTCTGCTCCAGGCTGATGACATCATCTGCCACCTCCACCACAGGGCTGGGGAAGCAGCTGAAGCTGAGGCTGAGTCACTGTCAGAGTAGCTCAGCATCAACTGATTTCACTGCATTTGGCAAATGTGCCCCCACAGAAAATGAACCTGTTTCCCTGTCCAACAGGTCAGTTCATTCACTCAGGACATCAGGAAGCGAATCCCCTCGGTAGACTCAAAGCCACTGTCTGAGTCAAAGCCCAGCATTCTAAGGCCTTTTATGTGGGTCGGGCCATAGGTTGGAATCACGCACCTTTTCATTTCTTGTGGATACTGGTATCATTTGTGAGATGTGGCCATGATTGGGAGGCAGCCGAAGAGCTGGGAGGTCTCACCCCCAAGCACAACTCCAAGGCCTAGGAAGGGCTCAGCACCACCACCCAGACTTCCCCAGCACCTGCCTAGCCAGTCTGGCAGCCTGACAGGGACAGGGTTCCGCTCTCAGGGAGGCAGGCCTGCGCCTCCAAGCCCACATGGGGTTTCTGAGGGACAAACTCCTCGGGCAGCCGTGCTTTGGGCACTGAAGCACCTTCTCCGCATCCTGGGTGGTAGTTGGAAATGATATCCTGGAGAAATAACTTCCTCAAAGGGAAATGAGTTCGTGTTTTCTAGAGTGAAAGTTCCTCCCCGGACAAAGCTGGGACCTGCACTGGCTTTGAGTGACTAAATGTCTTTCTGGGAGACTCTGACTCACTGGGTAATGTGGAACAGGCAGTGCCCTCGGCTGCAAGGCCTCACTGACATCTCCCCGGAACCAGCCTGTGCGTCCCACTGCAGAGTGCACCTGCAGTGCCCGGGACATGCACTTCCATTTCCTCCAGCCTGTGCATCTTCCTGTTCCCACTCACAGCCTGCTACATGTGCCAGGACCAACAGCTGTGCAGGAATGCCCTTTCCTGTGGCATCCAGGGCGGAGCTCACTGTCTTCTCAGTACTTCTGCACACACCAGCCACACGTGTACAGATGTGCATGGCTATCTGCTGACCCGTCTTCCCACCGTTCAGAAAACAAAACCCCTGGGAGCTCACTGCAAGAGTTGTTCCAGCTTTGATTCTAGGACTTGGCACCCGGCACACAGCAGGAACACTCACAAATACCTGAGTGGACAAACAGATGTCACCCCTTTGTTTTGGGGATAATATGGAAATTCTGGAAGTCAAGGCCCCATTTCGTCCCATCCAGCTGAAAACAGGTGCAAATAATGTAGGCCAATCCCAGTGGAGAGAAAATCTGCAGCTTAGTTGGTCCTTTGCTTTGTTGAGGTAGATTCATCTGAGTTAGGAAATGCTTCGTGGTGGCAAGACAGGCTTGGGGCAGGCTGGGCTGCACAACTCATCCTCTCAACACAGACCTTGGGTGTCGAAAGTGAACACAGTGTAGTCCTTACAATGGGGAAAAGGAGGGGAATGGTATGCGAGACCCCCTGTACTAGCCTTACAACTCCCTGCAAACTTCCATTTCAAAATAAAAGATTAAAATGTACAGTGAGGATCTATGGAAGCCTTGGGGAGGTCTCAGCTCCATATGGCAGCCTTTTGGACAAAGCTGTCTGAAAATGGAACGGGGTGCTTTAAAGATAGCAGGGCACAGCCACACCCCCAAGCTGGCAGCGTCCTTCAGCAGTGAGGGCCCAGCTCTGGGGCCAGATTGCCTGGATTCAAATCCCAACCCTAAAACTTACTTGTTCTATTGTCTTGGACAAGTTATTTCACCTCTACAAAATCTACATTTCTGCATTAAAAAAAAAATGGCAGCTAGGCCAGGTGCAGTGGCTCATGCCTGTAATATCAACAATTTGGATGCTGAAGCAGGGTGATCACTTGAGCCCAGGAGTTTGAGACCAGTCTGGGCAACAAAGTGAGATCCAATATATATAAAAAAAATTGCTTTCAATTAGCCGGGTGTGATGGCGTGCGCCTGTAGTCCCAGCTTCTTGGGAGGCTGAGGTGGGAGGTTTGCTTGAACCCAAGAATTTGAGGTTGCAGTGAGCTATGGTCATGCCACTGCACTCCAGCCTGGGAGGGCAAGGCCTTGTCTCCCAGAAAAAAAAAATAGATAAAACCACATTAGACTTACTGGCAATCGTGAATTATTCCTTCCACATGATGGCAGCCTGCAATGGGGGCTCCAATTTGGCTTGCAGTCTCTTCTGGGCAGTGGGCACGGCCATTTCTACTTTCCAGGGTGGCAGGTGGCCCGAAGGGTTCTAACCTGCCATTGGAACCTCATCTACAGTCCTGAACCCTCCATTCACAACCCTTCCCAGACTCCACTCCGACTTAAAGAACCTGAATAATGGACACATGGACACATACCTGAAAGAAAGCCTAGGCAGTTGCCATTAGACGAGGGCCTACGGCTTTATTAACAGATATCGATGAAGCTTTCAGGTGCTGGCAGCTATGAGGGTCTGGTTTTAAATGGCCTTTAAGGAAAAGCCGTGGCAGGCGGGCTGAGAGGGGCAGCTCCAGCTCAGCCCTGCCCACAGCACAGGCTGGCAGAAGCTGAGGTCCACATCACCTCCTGGCATGCAAAGGAGTTGAAGATAAAACCATTATTTTCCAGTTTCTCCACAAAGCCAATTTCTTTCCTTTTTTTTTTTTTTTGAGACGGAGTTTCGCTGGAGTGCAATGGTGCGATCTCGGCTCACCGGAACCTCTGCCTTCTGGGTTCAAGCAATTGTCCTGCCTCAGCCTCCCGAGTAGCTGGGACTACAGGCACACGCCACCATGCCCAGCTAATTTTTGTATTTTTAGTAGAGACGGGGTTTCACCTTGTTTACCAGGATGGTTTCGATCTCTTGACCTTGTGATCCACCCACCTCGGCCTCCCAAAGTGCTGGGATTATAGGAGTGAGCCACCGCGCCCGGCCCACAAAGCCAATTTCTAAGCAGTTATTATCCATTTACAGACTGGCACAAATATAAAAAATAAGCAGCTTAGGTGAGTACAGAGGCTGGAGTGCATTTTCTGCCAATACAAACCACTGTGATATTCTCTAAGCTCAGAGGGAAAAATATATCTCAGGCCCTGACTCAGATGTGGCAGAAATAAGTGAGTCTGAGGTGCATTTTCACAGCTGTTTCTACCCGGAAGGAGCCTGGGTGATACAAACAGGTCTGGGGTTCATGGCTCTGGTGAGCTCCCAGGGCCAACTGCATTTTTGCCAGGACGCTCATCCTCACTGCGGTTGTCTGGGGAGATGGCTGTTGGCAGGCTAGAGACCACAATGAAAAAACTGACAAAATTAAAAAAAAAACCCAGTAGGGTCTGCAGCAGTGTTTGAAATGACACGCTTTTTATTTCTCAGAAACAGCTGAGATGACCTCCAGAGATTTCCAACGAAGCTGTAACAGTCCACCCTGCAGCTCTACCACAGGGAGGAGGTGAAATCAAATCCATCAACTTATGCCAGGCTTCAGCCCTGCAGGAGCTGCTGCCTCTGAAGAAAGCGGGGACCTGGGCAGAGTACGTCCTTCCCCCATGTGGAGATCATGACAGATGTGAAGGTTGGGCTGACAGACACACAGCCTGCAGCTGCCCAGCCAGTCCCCAACAGCACCGAGCCAAGTCATTTAAAAAGGATTCAGGCCACTGCCTTTTTCTCAGGGAGGAACAGCCAGCATATGCCCCGAGGCTCACTGTCTAATCACACAGCAGTTGCCTAAAGGAGTTTCTGCTAGAGGCTTCCTGTCACCTTATTCTGTCTCCGCATCCACCCGAAATGGATTTCCCCAATCACTTAGAATAGCTTTGTGCTGAGTTTTAATTGCAGTTTGTGCTATTCTGTGAATTAGGAATTCAAACAAAAGAAAACCACGTTGAGAAACTATAGAGGAGCTGGGGGCTCTGTCTCCATTGCCCTCCTCATCATACACAAGTCATGCTTCTACCAAAAAAAAAAAAAAAAAAGGCCACTGAGGCAGCACAGAAGTGACAGTTGAGGAACCTGCAGCTCAGATTCAACAGGCACCTGCCAAGTCCACACTCAGGACTGAGTGACAGCCAGTCCACAACATGAGGTCCAGATACATTCACTGCCAAGGCTCTGCCCACGAAAACAAAGCCATCAGCTCTAGCAAAAGGACACAGCCTTCTTCCTCCCTCACTTCTCACCTGGTAAGTCCAGGAATCAAGAAAGCAAAAATGGCTGGGCGTGGTGGCTCACATCTGTAATCCCAGCACTCTGGGAGGCCGAGGTGGGTGGATCACATGAAGTCAGGAGTTCAAGACCAGCCTGACCAACATGGTGAAACCCTGTCTCTTAAAAAAAGAAAGAGAGAGAGAGAGAGAGAGAAAGAAAGAGAGAGAGAGAGAGAGAGAGAGAGAGAGAGAGAGAGAAGCAGTCACTGTTATAAGCAGCACCAGCTGCACAAGTAGAAGCACCTCTGGCGCCACTTTCAAGACAAGACAAGAGTATAGTCGAAATATCTGATTTGAAAATGTTGACCTCCTTTCCTACGGCATTGCAAGGGTCCCACAGGAACGTTGGTGGCACCAGGGAACAAACCCTGGAAGTGGTGCAGCCACTCTGGGACCAGGTAGCTCCGGCCAGAGGCCTCACTCCATGGCAGCCAGCTGCTCGATGGCACGGCGCACTTTCTTTGCAGTTTCTTCAAATTCTTTCTTCTTATTGTTGGTTTCCTTTGCCTGGAAATAAAGAATAGACACATGACACTGAAACCAGAGCTTCCCATTCATATCCTGTAGATAAGATGACAAAGGAAAAAACAATCAGGGAACAATGACCGAGTACCTGAATAAGCTGGGCCCTGGCTGGGGCAGACTCCCAGCTACATGGGACGAACATCCTGATTCAACTCAACGCCTTCTAGTTTAAGCTGCCTCCTAATCATTGAATAACAGAAAACACCGATGGAGGGGTTGGTATGTACCCAGCACCATTCTACCTGCTTGGCCCATTAACTGATTTATGTTCGCAGTGGTCCCGCGGTGGGTGCTCCCATGCCTCTATCACACAGATGAGGAAACCAAGGTCCAGCGGAAGCAGCCACTCAGGGTTCCGCAGCTAGTCTGTAGAGCTCTGCTCTTAACCACCACCCTACCTTGTCCTGAAACTAGTAGAGTCCAGAGACTACTTCTTCATGTCTAATTAAGCAGACCCTGGTAAACCTCAGGCTCTTCCTCAAACAGAAATTCTTTTTGCTTCCAGTCCCTTCCTGAATCTGTCTCCCAGTTTTTTCATTCTGCTAACAGAGCTCTCTCCTAAGGGGCAAATGACAATCACATTAGCAAACCCAGGGATCCTCTTCCCTATCATATTTTTTATTCATCCTAACTCCTCTGCTACCTTAAAAAACAAAGACCGCTATTGGATTATATTTGTTTTCTGATAGAAGCTAACTTAAAAAAATTATCTTTCAATATGTACTTAAATTTTTTATTTTTATTTTTTTAAAGATGCGGTTTCACCATATTGGTCAGGCTGGCCTTGAACTCCTGACCTCAGGTGTTCCACCCACCTCAGCCTCCCAAAGTGCTGGGATTACAGGCGTGAGCCACCGTGCCCGGCTTTTATTTTTTTAAGAGATGGGGTCTCACTGAGTTGCCCAGGCTGGAGTGCAGTGGCTATTCACAGGCACAATCCCACTACTGATCAGCATGGGAGTTTTGACCTGCTCCGTTTCCGATGTGGGCCAGTTCACCCCTCCTTAGTCAATCTGATGGTCCCCCGCTCCCAGGAGTTCACCATATTGATGCTGAACTAGTGCGGACACCTGATCAGCATAGCACACTACAGCCCAGAACTCGTGGGCTCAAGAGATCCTTCCACTTCCGCCTCCTGAGGAGCTGGGACTACAGGCATGTGCCACTAAGCCCAACTAAATATGTAGTTTATATATTCTAATATAGCCTACGTTTTACCTCATGTATAAGTCTTATTGTATATTATGAAAAGAAAATTTAATTTTAAAATAATAAAAAAATAACAGTGCACTTTTTGTTTTGTTTTAGAGACAGGGTCTCACTCTGTCACCCGGGCTGGAATTCAGTGGCAAGATCATGGCTCACTGCAGCTTTGACCCCCAGGGTTTAAGTGATCCTCCCACCTCAGCCTCCTGAGTAGTTGAGACTATAGGCATGTGCCACCATGCCTGGCTAATTCTTTTGTGTATTTTATGAAGAGATGCAGTCTGGCCACGTTGCCCCGGCTGGCCTCAAAACTCCTGGGCTCAAATAATCCTCCTGCCTTGGCCTCCCACAGTGCTGGGATTCAGGCACAAGCCAGTGCACCTGGCCCAACAGTGCACCTTGCAATGGACTGTAACAGACATCTCTGCAGTCCCGGGAGCCTCACCTCTCCTGAAATGGAAAGATAACCATGGCTTTAAAAACACACATACACACATTATTCAGTTTCTTCTTCTCTTTCAAAAAAGCCTAAAATTAAGCTCCTTTGCATACATGCTGTAATTTAACCACCCCAATGTGGAGGGCAATATCTCCATTTTATACATTTTTACAATAAAGAGGGGGCAAAGCTAACAGAAGAACTCTCACTATTGAAAAATAAAACAGGTGTGGTGGCTCACACCTGTAATCCCAGCACTTTGGGAAGCCAAGGCAGGTGGATCACCTGAGGTCAGGAGTTTGAGACCAGCCTGGCCAATATGAAGAAATCCTGTCTCTACTAAAAATACAAAAAATTAGCCAGGAATGATAGTGTGCACCTGTAATCCCAGCTACCTGGGAGGCTGAGGCAGGAGAATCGCTTGAACCCGGGAGGTGGAGGTTGCAGTGAGCCAAGATCATGCCACTGTACTGCAGCCTGGGTGACAGAACGAGAATCTGTCTCAAAAAAGAAAGAAAAGAAAAAAACTCACTGGCAAAACTTATAGTTGGATGTGGTGGCTCATACCTATAACCCCAGCACTTTTGGAAGCCAAAGCAGGAGGCTCAGTTGAGCATAGGAATACAAGAAGACCCTGGCCAACATAGCAAGACCCCTGTCTCTACAAAAAAATTAAAATTGGGCCAGGCACGGTGGCTCATGCTTGTTTTCAGCACTTTGGGAGGCTGAGGCAGGCAGATCACCTGAGGCCAAGAGTGCAAGACCTGCCTGGCCAACATGGTGAAACCCCATCTCTATTAAAAATACAAAAAAAATTAGCCAAGTGTGGTGGAAGGCGACTTAATCCCAGCTACTTGGGAGGCTGAGGCAGGAGAATCGCTTGAACTTGAAAGGTGGAGGCTGCAGTGAGCCATGAATGTGCCATTGCACTCAAGTCTGGGCGACAATGGTGAAACTCTGTCTCAAAAAAAAAAAAAAAAGTTAGCCAGGCATGGTGGTATGTGACTGTCATCCCAACTACTGGGGAGGCTGAGGCAGGAGGATCGCTTGAACTTGAAAGGTGGAGGCTGCAGTGAGCCATGAATGTGCCATTGCACTCAAGTCTGGGCGACAATGGTGAAACTCTGTCTCAAAAAAAAAAAAAAAGTTAGCCAGGCATGGTGGCATGTGACTGTCATCCCAACTACTGGGGAGGCTGAGGCAGGAGGATCGCTTGATTCCAAGAGACTGAGGCTATAGTGAGCTGTGACTGCACCATTGTACTCCAGCCTGGGCAACAGAGCAAGACCCTGTCTCTGAAAACAAACTTTAAAAAACTCCTGCCACCCAGGTCTACAACTCACCTCTCCTTCTAGTGCCTCCTTTTGTCCCCATCGCAAGTATTTACAAAGTAAACTCTGATGAAGAACTAAGTTGCTCTGTTTATTGCCACATCAAATTTATTCCCTAAACTGGTGGATTTTCACATTGGTTCTAATGTTTCATTGTTTCAAAAGCTGAAGCAGTGAGGCAGCAGTAGAACAAGAATCAGCGTCCAGCACCTTGCCCGGGGTGGCCAGACCTCAGCTTCCACAGCAGTGCCCTGCCCTCCCGGCACGCTGGCAAGGCGGCAGACAGGGGAGTCCTGCCGTCAAATCTGGATCTTGGGAATCCCCAGCATCACCAGCAATAGCATCCCTCCTTGTCTTCAGGGTTTGTATAGCGCATCACACGGGCCTGTGGTCCTAGCTACTGGGGAGGCTGAGGTGTGATCATTTGAGCCCAGGAGGTCAAGGCTGCAGTGAGCCAAGATCGCAGCACTGCACTCAGCCTGAGTGACAGAGTAAGAGCCTATCTTAAAAAAAAAAAAAAAAAAAATTATATTGTTTCACAATTAAACAAAGTAATAAAAACAAATCCATAATTTAAAAGCATTCTGTATTCCAAATTGGGGAGAACAAAAAACAGTTCAAAATAAAAGCCAGTTTTTTAAATCTCCCCGCCTTTCTTGCAGGCTGGGATGTCTCCCCTGATTCCAGTCTGGCTGGGTCCGACTGCAGTGCACCAGGACATGGAGACCAAGCGGGTGTCCTGCAGGGGATGATGCCTCTACTTCTGCCTCCTGCCCCTTCAGCTCATACATCCCAAAAGTCTACTTTTCTTAGTCACATCTTCCAAAAGGTGACTTGACTTTCCCTTACCAGAGCACATCTTCATCCCTGTAATGTAACCCTGGAGCGCAGCACCCCCAGCACCCACCAGCGCTTCAGGGCTTTCTGTAACTGGTCTGTGTCAGATTTCAGTGCTCTGTTTGCAACGGCAACAACCCTGTCTTTCTCAGTGCTCTGGAACCCGGCCTCCAGCTCACAACACCACATCCACTGCTCCTCCCCCGTGCCCATGCAGGTTCCAGGCACACAAGCGAGGGCCTGCTGGCCAAATCCATCCAGACCATCACGGCCTTTTATTGTCCAGCACACAGGCTAAGAATGCTTTTTATGTTTCTAAAATGTTGTGAAAAGCTACAACAAAAAGACAATATGCAGCAGAGACTCTGACCCACCAAGGCTAAGAGATGGTCTACGGCACATTACAGAAAGTTGGCTGACCCCTGACCTGGAAAAAGATGCTCCCCAGCCCATTTTCCAGTTCCCACGCTGCAGTTCCCACAACCTCAACTGGTGACAAGCTCTCCCACAGCCTGCTGCACCTACCACTGGCGTCTTCCCTCTTCCTGACAAAACGCAATATTAAAAGCCACTATATTGAGGCCAGGCACGGTGGTTCGCACCTGTAATCCCAGCACTTTGGGAGGCCAAGGCAGGCAGATCTCTTGAGGCCAGGAGTTTGAGACCAGCCTGGCCATCATGGCAAAACCCCATCTCTACTAAAAATACCAAAATTAGCTAGGCCTGGTGATGTACACCTGTAACCCCAGCTACTTGAGAGCCTGAGGCATGGAATCACTTGAACCTGGGAGACGGAGGTTGCAGTGAGCCAAGATCGCACCATTGCACCCCAGCCTGGGTAACAAGAGTGAAACTCCATCTCAAAAAAAAAAAAATTAAAACAAAACAAAACAAAAAAACCCACGCTGGTCAGGCACAGTGGCTCACGCCCTGATCCCAGCGCTTTGGGAGGCCGAGGTGGGTGGATCATGAGGTCAGGAGTTTGAGACCAGCCTGGCCAACATGGTGAAACCCCATCTCTACTAAAGATACAAAAACTTAGCCAGACATGGTGGCACACACCTGTAATCCCAGCTACTCAGGAGGCTGAGGCAGGAGAATCACTTGAACCTGTGAGGTGGAGGTTGCAGTGAGCTGAGATCATGCCATTGCCCTCCAGCTTGGGTGTCAGAGAGAGAGACTGTCTCAAAAAAAAAAAAAAAAGCCATTATATTCGACAGAACTATTTTACACTTATCTCTAAAAAGGAACACAATTGCTGGGCGCCGTGGCTCAAGCCTGTAATCCCAGCACTTTGGGAGGCTGAGGCGTGTGGATCACGAGGTCAAGAGATGGAGACCATCCTGGTCAACATGACGAAACCCCGTCTCTACTAAAAATGCAAAAAATTAGCTGGGCATGGTGGCGCATGCCTGTAATCCCAGCTACTCAGGAGGCTGAGGCAGGAGAATTGCCTGAACCCAGGAGGCGGAGGTTGTGGTGAGCCGAGATTGTGCCATTGCACTCCAGCCTGGGTAACAAGAGCGAAACTTCATCTCAAAAAAAAAAGAAACACAATTTTCAAGCTGAAAAGGGACCTCAGAAACCACTGGATGGGGCAGGGGGGTCTAACCTCTATTTAGCAAGGAAAGTGTGACCACGACTGGCTTAAATACGCTAAGTCTGCAAGTGGCAGAGACGGAACTATGACATCTCCTGACTCTCCACCCAGAGCTTTGCTACAAGGATATGAAATCCCCCAGTACTTATTCTGTGTGGGGCTGCCAGACTTAGCAAATAAGAATATATGATGCCCAGGCCGGGCGTGGTGGCTCATGCCTATAATATCAGCACTCTAGGAGGCCAAGGTGGGCAGATCACCTGAGGTCAGCAGTTTAAGACAAGCCTGGCCAACATGGCAAAACCCCGTCTCTACCAAAAACACAAAAATTAGCAGGCATGGTGGGGCATGCCTGTAATCCCGGCTACTTAGGAGGCTGAGGCAGGAGAATCTCTTGAACCCAGGAGGCGGAGGTTGCAGTGAGCCAAGATCACACCATCCCACTCTAGCCTGGCCAACAGAGTGAAACTCTGTTTCAAAAAAAAAAGAAAAAAAAAAAGCTTCCTGAGGAAAAACAGGGGTCCCTTTGACAGACTAGTTTAGTGCTAAAGACAATGAACAGGGTTTGAACAGTTCTTATTCCCAATACATACAATTTTGTTCTTGGCTCTTTCTCTGTCCAGTTTCAGAAATTCACCAAGGGTTAATTCTTCAAACTGCTTCTTGACAGAAAGGAAAGCGCAACCAGATGAATGCTTTTTATGTTCCTCTCTAGAAAAATCAGAACAACAGCGGAAAGACAGCTGAAGGAATGAAAGCAGCAGTCTACTCCTCATGGGTCACCTTCCCGCCCTCCACCAGCACACCCTGCTCTGCCTCAGGAGCAAAACATCAAGTCTGATGTTGATGGAATCAGTGCTGGGTCCAAGCCACATTCCCTTATGGCCCCTCTTAGCACCTTCTCTCTCACTGTGGACCTCTCTCCCTACGTCCATGTGACTAACATATCCATTTTACCTGGACTTCTTTAGCAATTAGGTGAGAAAGTGTTATACAGTGTAAGTCCGAAAGAATCACGTGTCAAATCCCTCTAACATTCTCAAGGAACTGTTTGAAGTAATTTCATTTCACTGGAATTGTTATGAAATCCACTGTAAGGATTAAGAGCAAATAGGGGCATTTTCCACCAGGGTTCCCCAAGGGAAACTCTAGCTCAGATTCTCATTTGCTGCTAGTCTCCCTGCATAACTGATTATTGCCGTTACCAGAGCAGTGTTACAATGAAAACATAGCCACACAAAGTACAAAAGGACAGCCAGTAGTTAGCTCTAATCTGAAAACGTGAATACCACTGATATTTTCCCAGTGATCACAGGATGCAGTATAACCACCACAGTGAACATAGTAAGAAAAAAACAGCTACACTCTTCTGATCAGGAAGAAAAACAGCTGGGGTGATTCTCAAGGGGAAAAAATTAAAGTTGTGGAAGCAACTGATTCTAACAGAAAAAACAGGTGAGAAAAGAGTATGGCATTACAGTGTGGAAGACAAGTATCATCCAAGTATGGGACTTCATTTTAATTAACTAGGCATCTTGAAGAACAAAATCCAAAACAACACTGAAGTGTACACTTCCTTTTTTTCTTTTTAAATGTTTAAGACGGAGTCTCGCTCTATCGCCCAGACTGGAGCGCAGTGGTGTTATTCTAGCTCAACCTCCGCCTCCCAGGTTCAAGCAATTCTCCTGTCTCAGCCTCCAGAGTAGGTAGAATTACAGGCGCTTGCTACCATGCCCGGCTAATTTTTGTATTTTTAGTAGAGATAGGGTTTCACCATGTTGGCCAGGCTGGTCTCAAACTCCTGATCTCAGGTGATCCGCTGGCCTCAGCCTCCCAAAGTGTGAAAAACTACCCTTTCAAAGGGTAATTATTGTGTCCTGTGGGTTATATTTCAATTAAACTTTAAAAAAAAAAATCTCAAGGAAAGTGCTTGGACATTCCGGGGAGCTCACAGCAGCAGGGTCTGCTAATGTATTCTGTTGAACCTGAAATGCATCAGGCATCAGGCATCTTTAAGTGAATGAGACTTTCACATCCACCCTAAGGGCATTTTGGTCAAATGAGATTTAATTACGCTGTAAGCATCACCAAGGCACCAGCATTTAGAGACGTATCTGTTCACAATAGCTGTTTAAGAAACAATGAGGTGGCAGGGCACGGTGGCTCACGCCTGTAATCTCAACACTTTGGGAGGCTGAGGCGGGTGAATCACGAGGTCAAGAGATCGAGACCATCCTGGTCAATAAGGTGAAACCCCCGTATCTACTAAAAATACAAAAATTAGCTGGGCATGGTGGTGCGCACCTGTAGTCCCAGCTACTCGGGGCGCTGAGGCAGGAGAATTACTTGAACCCAGGAGGCGGAGGTTGCGGTGAGCCGAGACCGTGCCATTGCACTCAAGCCTGGGTAACAACAGCGAAACTCCGTCTCAAAAAAAAGAAAGAAAGAAACAATGAGGCTGGAAAGCAACCCTCCCAGTATTAAGCGTCTTCACAATTTAAATCTGACAGCTAAAACCCATCGAGACTGGCCAGAGGGGACTTACATGGGGTCGTCATCTGGCTCCCAGCCTTCCAGCTCCTTGAAGCAGAAGAAACACTGGGCCAAGTCCGGCTCGTTCTCAGTCGGGCAGTGGATGAAGCCCGCCTCGGCCATCTGCAAGGGACAGCACAGCTCGTGAGTGGACACGGCAGCCCGGAACCCAGAGGCCCAGCCACAAAGGCCTTGATGGGGACAGAGCAGTGAGGGGAGGGCGGCCCGGACCCGCGGTGCCCAGCCACAGCGGCCTCGCTGGGGACAGGACGGGGAGGGGAGGGCGGCTCGTACCGCCGGGGCCCAGTCACAGTGGCCTCGCTAGGGACAGGGAAAGGCGGGCCTGGGGGACCCCGAGAGTCCCGGCAGTCTCACCCGCTCCGGGGTGCAGGCGCAGCCCTCCAAGAAGGGCCAGTTCTTGAATGTAGAGATGCGGTGGTCCTTGAGAAAGGGCTGCCAGGCAGGGGGCAACATCGGGGCACCCATACCGCCGCCGCCACCTCTGCCAAACCGTCCGGCGACTCAAATCTGGCGGTTAATGGCGCGCCGCGGGGCATATCGGGAGCACACGCCTACTTAGGCGGTCCCCCGCGAGGCCGTCTGGGAGTAGAGGCGGGGCGGCGCGAGGCGGGCCGGGAGTTGTAGTCCGCCCGCCACGTTGCTCAGCCCCGGGGGACTGTGCACCAGGCCACCAAGCGCCAGCTCGCCCCTGCCCACACCTAGCGCCTCCTCGACTTCTTTCAAAGAACGCGTGCAGGTCGGGCGCAGTGGCTTACGTCTGTAATCCCAACACTTTGGGAGGCTGAGGCGGAAGGATCACTTGAGGCCAGGAGTTCGAGACCAGCCTGGCCATCAAGACGAAACCTTGTCCTTACTAAAAATACAAAAATTAGCGGCGCGTAGTGGCGTACTCCCAGTTACTACTCGAGAAGCTCTTGAACCTAGGAGGCAGAGGTTGCAGTGAGCTGAGATTGCGCCACTGCTCTCCAGCCTGGGCGACAGAATGAGACTGTTTCCAAAAAATTAAATAAATAAGTAAATAAATAAGACTCTCAAAATAAATAAAAATAAAGAAAAGTAAAAAACAAAGAGTGCGTGCAAAAAACAGCTGAGGACGGACTGAAGTGCCCATAGTGGGCTCAAGGAGCAGCCAGCCCCTGTCCAGCACACTTGTGCTAAGCCCTTAGCCTGCAAACTCCTTATTCGTTTTTGTTTTTTTGTGTTCCCCACTCTTGAAACCGCTTCGAGCCAGCTTTCCCTCTCCTTGTACCTGACCTGTTAGAAATGCTTGCAGATGGGCATCACCCTGAGGTCCTGCACCTGCTGGGGAAAAGACGTCAGGTTAAATGAATCCACAGTTAATTCCACTGTTTCGTGAGCTATTAACTGGTCCCCGACCCCCACCCCCTGTTTTCTTGAGACAGTGTCTTGCTCTGTTGCCCAGGCTAGAGTACAGTTGTGCCTCCAACTGGAGTGTGCACCGCACTCCAGCCTGGGCAACACAGTAAGGCATTGTCTCAAAAAAGAAAAAAAACAAAAAGAATTAGTAGCTCGAATTTATTTCTTAGCTTAATTCACAAAATTGTGAGCAGTTTTGTGAAGCAAGGTTGAGAGGGAAAATGAGGGCAAGAAAAACACAAAGAGAGACCCAAACGGGACAAGAGGGAGGTGTGAGGTTGAACTGGTTCTATTGGTTGCTGAATTTTCAGAGTCAAAGGTCTCCCTGGTCATCATGAAAAGATCAAGTCCATACCTGAGAGGTCTTCAAAATATTTTGATCGTTGCCAGTCTGAGAGTACAAAACAACCTGTGTTTAACTTGTTTCTCTTTATTTAAAAGGGAGGCTGGTCACCTCTTCTCAAGTTCATCGGTCACTTAATTACTGTGAATTGCCCATTCCTGGGGGTCCCTTGCCTCCCTTTCTGTTGGATTACTAATGGTTTTCCTATTGCTTCGTATGGGTTTTTATACAGAAGGGAGTTAGCTTTACTTGTCCCCCTCAGCCCCACCCCGCTGTGCTGGTTTTTTATTTGCCTTTTGACTTTGTGGTGTGGTTTCTTTCCTGCAAAAGTTTAAAAATTTTTTTTTTAATCGGAGTCTCATTCTGTCACCCAGGCTGGAGTGCAGTGGTGCGATCTCAGCTCACTGCAACCTCCGCCTCCTGGGTTCAAGCGATTCTTCCACCTCAGCCTCCTGAGTAGTGGACTACAGGCATGCACCACCATGCCCGGCTAATTTTTGCATTTTTAGTAGAAACAGGGTTTCACCATGTTGACCAGGCTGGTCTCGAACTCCTGATTTTGTGGTCTGCCTGCCTCGGCCTCCCAACGTGCTGGGATTACACGTGAACCACCGTGCCTGGTCTTTTAGGGTTTTTTTTTTTTTTTGAGACAGAGTCTCACTCTGTCACCCAGGCTGGAGTACAGAGGCATGATCTTGGTCCACTGCAACCTCCGCCTCCCGGATTCAAGCGATTCTTCCACCTCAGCCTCCCAAGTAGCTGGGGTTATAGTCACCCACCATCATGCTCAGCTAATTTTTATATTTTTGTAGAGACGGGGTTTCATCATGTTCACCAGGCTGGTCTTGAACTCCTGACCTCAGGTGATCTGCACACCTCAGCCTCTGAAAGTGCTGGGATTACAGGTGTGAGCCACCTTCCCCAGTCAAAAGTTTTAAATCTTTATGCTGTCATATTTATCACTGTTTCTTTCTGATTTTCGTTTTCTATTTCTGGTCAGTGTCTTGTTTTTATCTTGCTTTAAAAGGCTTTGTCCAATCCAAAATGCTTTATAAAAGATACTGAGGGCGGGCACGGTGGCTCACGCCTGTAATCCCAATACCTTGAGAGGCCAAGGTGGATCACTTGAGGTCAAGAGTTTGATACCAACCTGGCCAACATGGTGAAACTTGTCTCTACTAAAAATACAAAAATTAGCTGAGTGTGGTGGGCGGTGCCTGTAATCCCAGCTACTGGGAGGCTGAGGCAGAAGAATTGCTTGAACCCCAGAGGCAGAGGTTACAGTAAGCAGAGCTTGTGCCACTGCACCGTAACCTAGGCCACAGAGTGGGACTCTGTCTCAAAAAAGAAAGAAAGAGAGAGAGAGAGAGAAAGAAAAAAGAAAGAGAGAGAAAGAAGGAAGAAAAAGGAAGGAAGGAAGAAGAAAGAAAGAGAAAGAAAAGAAAGGAAGGAAGGAAGGAAGGAAGGAAGGAAGGAAGGAAGGAAGGAAGGAAGGAAGGAAGGAAGGAAGGAAGGGACTGAGGCAATGAAGATTCCTTCTGGTTTTTCCTGGTTTTGGTTTTTTTTTTTTTTTTTTTTTTTAGACGGAGTTTCGCTCTTGTTACCCAGGCTGGAATGCAATGGTGCAATCTTGGCTCACCGCAACCTCTGCCTCCTGGGTTCAGGCAATTCTCCTGCCTCAGCCTCCTGAGTAGCTGGGATTACAGGCATGCGCCGCCATGCCCAGCCAATTTTTTTGTATTTTTAGTAGAGACGGGGTTTCACCATGTTGACCGTGATGGTCTCGATCTCTTGATTCACCCGCCTCGGGCTCCCAAAGTGCTGGGATTACAGGCGTGAGCCACCGCACCCAGCTGGTTTTGTTTTTTATGTTGAGAACTTGACCCCTCTGGAAAGAGTGTCAATGACGGCAGTAAAAAAAAAGGTTCATATTTATGTTTTCCAAGCTCTTGCAGTTCATTCAATAGCCAGCTTTGTACAATGGGTTTTGTTTCTGTTTTTGTTTTTTGAGACAGGATCTCCCTCTGTTGCCCAGGCTGTAGTGATGTGGTGTGATCTCGGCTCACTGCAACCTCCACCTCCACCTCCCGGCCTCAAGTGACTCTTCCACCTCAGTCTCCTGAGCAGCTGGGACCACAAGCTTGCATGGTCACACTTGGCTAAATTTTGTATTTTTTGTAGCGGCAGGATTTTGCCACGTTGCCCAGGCTGGTCTCAAACTCCTGGGCTCAAGTGATCTGCCGTCTTGGCCTTTCAAAGGGCTGGGATTAAAGGCATGAGCTGCCCTGTCCGGCCTGTATAACAGGTTTGAAACACTGCCTTGGTGGATCGCCTGAGGTCAGGAGTTCACGACCAGCCTGACCAACATGGTAAAACCCTGTCTGTACTAAAAATACAAAAATTAGCCAGGCATGGTGGCACATGCCTATAATCCCACCTACTCGGGAGGCTGAGGCAGGAGAATCGATTGAACCCAGGAGGTGGAGGTTGCAGTGAGCTGAGATTGTGCTATTGCACTCCAGTTTGGGCTACAGAACAAGATTCTATCTCAGAAAAAAATTAAATAAATACATAAATAAATAAAAGAAAAAAGAAAAAGAAAAGAAACACCGCGTCTGTCACTTCCAAAGTTCCCTCATGGGTTGGGACCTGTTTCAGCAATCTGGGTTCTGTCCATCAGTCTGTCCACTCCTGCCCCAGACAGTTATTTTTTGCGGGGATAAACAGAGCGGAGCCCCTGGCAGGAACCTGGAAGGCACAGGAGCCAGAGAATGAAATCAGGTGCAAGGAACAGACCCACATGTTGCTTCCGGTGTTAGAGAACCAGAGAGGGCCATGACAGGGCTGCCCAGCACAAGTCAGACGGGAGGGCTTTACAGGGCACCACCTCTGTAAAAAGCAACCACCCCAGACAGGCATGAGGACAACCGGACAGGGAAGGGTGGGGGTGCAGCTGACATTGCTGTCCTGGCAGACGCCACTGACCGCATGACCTGGGTTTCCAGAAGGGCCGCCTTCCGGAGCCAGGGGCCAGGGACTGGGCTACCACCGTGGTGAGAAGACAAGGGAGCCAGGGAAGGCTCAGTGGAGGGTGGAGGCCGGTGCTGATGGCAAATCCTCCTTTCCCTCTGCAAAGCAGGGGGTCCCTCCAACAGTAAGTCCTGCAGCCTATTTAAAAAAAAATTGTTAACAGCCAAAAGAAAAAAAAAAATCAGCGTGTCCTCTGCTTTGGAACAGGGTATTCTGAGTCACTTCCGGAGCTGGCCATTAGAGGTGGGACCTTTCACGTCCGCTCCCTTCTCTGATTTTCTGGCCAGAGATAAGAGGCCTGGCCCTATTAGACCTCCAGCCCACACAGGCCTGGTGTCTCCACCCTCTTTTTCATTCTCTCCACCCCCCATATATCCCCATTCTTTAATATAGTAACTTTTTTGTAACTTTATTTTGATGTTTATTTATTTGAAACTGAGTTTCACTCTGTGGTGCAGGCTGGAGTGCAGTGGTGCGATCTCCCTCCGCTTCCCAGTTTCAAGTGATTCTCCTGCTTCAGCTTCCCAAGTAGCTGAGTCTACAGGTGTATGCCACCATGCCCAGCTAAGTTTTGTAGTTTTAGTAGAGATGGGGTTTCACCATGTTGGTCAGGCTGGTCTGAAACTCCTGACCTCAGGTGATCTGCCTGCCTTGGCCTCCCAAAGTGTTGCCATTACAGGCATGAGCACCATGCCTGGCCTGATGACAACTTAAATAAAAGAAAATTGTAAGAAGAGTACAGAGAATACTCATCCACCCTCCACCCAGATTTTCTGTTTATGTTTGACTAGTTCCTTTAGCATTCAGTCTCTCCTTCCTCCTCCCTCTCTCCCTTCCCTCTCTCTACTCCCCACTCTCTTGCTGTCTCCTTCTGTCTCCTGTCTTCCTTTCTCTCTGCCTCTCCCCGCTTTTCTCTCCCTCGCTCTCCCTCTCCGTCCATGTATGTAAACATACACACATCCCTGTATGTGTATATATCCTATGCAAGTGTATGTACATTTACGGGTGGTTTACCTGAACCATTTGTAAGTTGAAGGCATCATCACACTTTACCCTGAAATGCTTCATTCTCTTACATAACCACAGCACAATCATCAAAATCAGGAAACTTAACTTCGCTACAGTTATCAAAGTCATTTGACTTGGCAGGTGGCTCCTAGGTCCCGCTGGTTGGCTTGCCAACTGGGCTGGCACCACCATGGCCTCTGCTGGGGAGGCCACCAGGCACAGACCGAGGGATGCCTCACCTTCACTGTCAACCACAGCAGCTGCCTGCCCTCAGGAGGGAGGAAGGGGACAACTCCTTTTCACTTCTGCGCACAACGTCATCAAACACATAGACAAGGAGGGCCCTGGTGTCCACCTGGACCTGAACACCCTCAAAACCGAGTTCCAGGAGCTTCAAAAGCTCATGGGCACTGGGCCCCCGCACCCTCCCCAGCCTGAGCAGCAGCCACAGCCCCATAGCCTCCGGGAGCAAGTCAGGACCAGAACAAGCTTCTGCAAAAATTTGAGTCTCTGTGCATTTGAAATCCCTGAGAAGCAGAGTGAGGCTGACTTCAAAGATGGGGGTCGGGAAGCAGTGGCCTGTGTGCCTCGACCCCACGCAGCCCCTCAGGGTGTGGTCCCTTCGGACCCCAGCTCTGACCAAGCCGCCTGGGGTGTGGCTGCTGCACTGCGCCCAGCTTGAATATATCCACATGTCTAGATGCATCATAACTTGAGTGCCTAAAGGTGGGGGTCAGGGTGGTTCTGGAGCCTGGGGAATGGGTGGAGGATCCTCTCCTGTCTCTGGGAAGGAGGCCATCTGCAGTGAGTCTGGGCCCCAGGGGCATCTGAAGGCACAGCAGGAAAGGAGGGACTGTTCTTTGCTTCTTTTCCCCTTCTCCTTCCACCCCAAGGTAAGATCAGTGCTTACCAAGTACACACCATTCCTGTGATCCACAGGTGCATGAAATATTTGCATATCATCCACTGGACAAATTATGCCTACAGTGGGGACTTCATATATAAGCGAAGGCTGTGAGGGAACGAACATTGTTTTGAAAGGGCAGAGGGATCTTTTCTTCCCACAACAGCTGGGTTCCTCTTATGTTTGAGTCCCAGTGAACAGAATTGTATCTGTGGGGGTGTCAACCCCGAGCCCTGCTAGGCAGCCCATCTCCAGGTTCCCCACCTTCTAGATTCTCCTTACCTTCAGCTCACCCCTCCACCTCCTGCCACCTTTAGAGAGTGGCCAAGCTTCTTCCCATCCGCAGCGCTTCCCAGGTTAGCAGGTTCTGTCCTGTCACCCAGGATCAAACAAGACGTCAGGCAAACAGATCTTTCCTCGATTGGCATTTCACATTCACATTGCCCTGGTTTAAAAAAGTATTTCCCAGCCCAGGGCGGTGGCTCACACCTGTAACCTCAGCACCTTGGGAGACCAAGGAGGGAAGATCACTTGAACCTAGGAGTTCAACGTCAGCCTGTGCAACACAGTGAGACCCCATCTCTATAAAACATTTTAAAAATTAGCCAGGCAGGCTAGGCACGGTGGCTCATGCCTGTAATCCCAGCACTTTGGGAGGCTGAGGCAGGTAGATCACCTGAGGTCAGGAGTTCAAGACCTGGCCAACATAGTGAAACCCTATCTCTACCAAAAATACAAAAAACTAGCCAGAGGTGGTGGTGGGCGTCTGTAATCCCAGCTACACGGCAGGCTGAGGCATGAGAATTAATCAAACCCTAGGATGCAGAGGTTGCAGTGAGCTGAGATCCTGCCATTGCATTCTAGCCAGGGCAACAAGAGTGAAACTCCATCTCAAAAAAAAAAATTAGCCAGGTATGCACCTGTAGTTGCAGCTACTCAGGAGGCTGAGGTGGGAGGATCACTTGATCCTGGGAGTCAAGTCTGCAGTGAGCCATGATTAGGCCACTGGCACTCCAGCCTGGGCAAGAGAGCAAGTCCTTGTCCCCCCCCCAAAAAAAAGAATATAGCCGGGCACAGTGGCTCACGCCTGTAATCCCAGCACTTTTTGAGGCTGAGCAGGGCGGATCACGAGGTCACCCAAGTAGCTGGGATTACAGGCTCCCACCACCATGCTCAACTAATTTTTATATTTTTAGTAGACAGGGTTTCGTCATGTTGACCAGGCTGGTCTCGAATTCCTGACCTCAGGTGACCCATCGCCTCAGGGATTTTGTATTTTTAGTAGAGACGGGGTTTCACCAGGCTGGTCTTGAACTCCGCCTCAGCCTCCCAGAGTGCTGGGATTACAGGCATGCAACACCATTCCCAGCTAATTTTTTGTATTTTTAGTAGAGACGGGGTTTCACCAGGCTGGTCTTGAACTCCTGACCTCAGGTGATCCACCCGCCACAGCCTCTCAAAGTGCTGGGATTACCGGTGTGAGCCACTGCACCCGGACAAAAAAGGATATTTTGAGAGGAAGAGAGCGACCCCATTCACATAAATTTTTTGTTTTGCTTTGTTTTGTTTTTGAGATGGAGTTTCACTCTTGTTGCCCAGGCTGGAGTGCAATGGCATGACCTTGGCTCACTGCAACTTCTGCCTCCCAGGTTCAAGTGATTCTCTTGCCTCAGCCGCCCAAATAGCTGGGATTACAGGCTCCCGCCACCATGCTCACCTAATTTTTATATTTTTAGTAGACAGGGTTTTGTCATGTTGACCAGGCTGGTCTCGAATTCCTGACCTCAGGTGACCCATCCGCCTCAGCCTCCCAGAGTGCTAGGATTACAGGCATGAGCCACCGTGCCTGGCTTTACATAACTTTTATCACAGTATATTGTTAAAATTGTTCTATTTTATTAGTTATTATTAATCTCTTAGAAGGAATACTCATCTACTCTTTGCCTAATTTATAAATTAGTCATAGGTTTAAACTTATCATAGAGGAAAAAACAGCATATGCAGGATTCAGTATTATCCATGGTTTCAGGGGGTCTTGGAGCGAAGCCCCATGGGTAAGGGAGCTGAGTGGATCTTGGCGGTTTTCCACGTGGTAAACACAGATCTATTTGTAAGGGCTGCAGGGTTTCGTGCTGCTTGGATGCATTTATTCCCTGATCAACACTAGGCTGTTTCTTGTTTTTTTTTGCCATACTCAGTAATGCCACAGTGGAAGTTCTATTTTTTTTCTCTCCCGACTTTAAGTTCCAGGGCATACGTGCAGGTTTGTTACGTGGGGAAACGTGTGTCATGATGGTTTGCTGCACAGACACAGTGGAAATTATTTGTTTTTTTCTGACACGGAGTCTGGCTCTGTTGCCCAGGCTGGAGTGCAAGGGCGCAATCTTGGCTCACTGTAACCTCCACTTTCTGGGTTCAAGTGATTCTCCTGCCTCAGTCTCCCAAGTAGCTGGGATTACAGGCACCTGCCACCACGCCTGGCTAATTTTTGCATTTTTAGTAGAGACAGGGTTTGCCATGTTGGCCAGGCTGGTCTTGAATTCCTAACCTCAGGTGATTCACCTGCCTCGGCCCCCTCAAGTGCTGGGATTCCAGGCCTAAGCCACTATGCCCACCCCATAGTGGAAATTCTTGAATGCTATTCATTGTGGGAGAAAGAGGTGGTGTAGTCAGGTGGGTGGTGGATGGATGTAGCTGGCTCCTTGGGACGTGCACACCACCCTCGGGGTACAGAGGAAGCTTGTCCTACATGTAGGTGGCATTGTCCTGTCAAGGTCAAGGTGTTGGCCCCAACAGTGAGACCCCAGGACATTGAGGGACAGACCCAAATGTCAGGGAGATGGAGGACACAGCAGAGAGGAGGCTGAAGCCGAAGGCAGAAGGCAAGCTGACTTGGGGAAACCCTTACCCAGGGGTTGGCAAACTTTTTCTGAAAAGGGCCAGATAGGAAATGCTGGAGACTGGGCTCGGTGGCTCATGTCTGTAATCCCAGCACTTTTGGAGGCTGAAGCGGGCGGATAATTTGAGGTCGTAAAGTTCGAGACCAGCCCGACCAACATGTAGAAAGTCCATTTCTACTAAAAATAAAAAAATTAGCCAGGTATGGCAGCACATGACTGTAATCCCAGCTGCTCAGGAGGCTGACGCATGAGAATTTTTTGAACCCAGGAGGTGGAGGTTGCGGCGAGCCAAGATCGCACCATTGCACTCCAGCCTGAGAAACAAAAGTGAAACTTCATCTCAAAAAAAAAAAACAAAAAAGGAAATGCTTCAGGCACTAAGGGCCAGGAGGTCACTGTCACCACCACTCAGCAATGCCCGGCAGCTCGAAAGCTGCCCTAGACAATACGTAAATGAACTGAGCAGGGCCGTATTCCAATACAACTTTATTTATTGACATGGAAATTTAAGTTTGATATAATTTTTACATGTTATGAAATAATACTCTTTTGTGACTCTTTATGGACTATCTAAAAATGCAAAGCTATTCTTAGCTCGTGGGTCATACAGAAACGCTGGAGGTAAGTCATTTCTGTCACGCTCTGTCAGCAGATGAGGGGCCAGACGAGGCCAAGAGGTGGCTCCAGCATCTCAGAGCATTGACTTGTGGACCTTCTCTGGAGCCTCCGTAGAGCTCCATCCAGGCTGGGAAGAGGGAGGACCTGGAGATTTTCACAAGTGTCCACGCAGTGAGAATGGACTCTTCCCGGCAGGCAGACACAGCGAGGCTCTCCTGGGTGCTGGGGAAAACTGAAACCGTCAGCTTCAGCTCTGAGAGCTCTGTGGCGAGGCTTCCCAAGGTGGGGTGCACGTGGACCAGGCTCCAGGTATTGTGAGAACTACTGGAAGATTGTTTTCAAGAAAATCTGGAGCAGGAAGAGAAGACACAAAAGCCCCAGAACTGGAGCAGCTCTTGGCAGGAATTTGATTAAGGAAATAGAATGGAGCTGGATGCAGTGGCTCATGCCTGTAATCACAACACTTTGGGAGGCTGAGGCAGGAAGATCGCTTGAAGTCAGGAGTTTAAGACAGCCTCGTTAGAGGTATAATATGGTGAGATTTAAAAAAAAGAAAGTAAGACCAGCCTGGGGAACATAGAGAGACCCCATCTCTACAAAAAATATAAAAATTAGCGGGGCATGGTGACACACCTTTGTAGTCCCAGCTACTCGGGAGGCTGAGGCAGGATCACCACTTAAGCCCAAGAGGCGGCAAAGAACTAAAATTTTGCCTCTGTACTCCAGCCTGGGTGCAGCAGAGGAGACTCTGTCTCTAAAAAAAAAAGAAAGAAAAAGGAAAAAACAAGATGGTTTTTCTTAGGTTCTGTCTTTCCAAGATTCTCAGGTCATTTTTTTTTTTTCTTTTTTGAGACGGAGTCTTGCTCTGTCACCCAGGCTGGAGTGCAGTGGTACAATCTTGGCTCACTGCAACCTCTGCCTCCTGGGTTCAAGCAATCCTCATGCCTCAGCCTCCTGAGTAGCTGGGATTACAGGCACATGCCACCATATCTGGCTGTTTTTGTATATTTAGTAGAGACAGAGTTTGTCTATGTTGGCCAGGCTGGTCTTGAACTCAGGCTGATTTGCACATCTAAGGGACTCAGACAGGACCCATGCTGTCTACCATGAAAGGGCTGAGGAAGGCCAGGGATGAGGCCCCACCTGGGTGAGCACGCTGTCCTTCTGGGTCAGAGTCTCAATGATTTCAAAGTGATCCACGTCGCTGAGCTTTTCAAACGAGGCTTTCCACCCTCCTTGACACAGGGTCTGGTTAGGAGAGACAGGAGGAGGGGCCTGTGCTGTGGCGGGAGGTGGGGCAGGACTGGGGGCCATGCCCAGCACAGGTCATGGCTCACTCATTATGTGCTGAATAAATGATGGACAGTCTTGTCCACTTGGGTGAAAGAAAGGAAAATAATGAGCTCACATGACCCTCGACCTCTGGCCACAAACCTGTGCTGGGAGTACCTGGTAAAACTCCCAGGACTGTCGATGGAATTCGGGGGAGTCAAACTGGCCCACGACCACCAGCACAGGGCAGGCAGGGTCCGCCGGCTGCGCCTGGGCCACCTTCAGCTGGGGGCTATTCCTCCGAGCATCCTCCCTGGGGCAGGGAGTGGACGGGGGTGAGGACAGAGACAAGCCAGTCTCCAGGTGACCCAGGGGTGCTGGTGGGCAAGTGGCTCACAGGGTCAGCTGGAGAGCAACGTTCTGTGATGTATACACCATAGGCTCCAGGTCAAAGACTCCACTCACCAGGAAAAAGCCTGTGAAGGTGCAGAATAGTCACAGGGCCAGGCTCCAGGCAGAGCAAGGCAGGGCCAGCCGGCCCCCAAGGCCAGAGGGGCAGGGGCAGGGGCAGGGGAGGGGGCACAGAGGAAGCAGAGAAGGCCTGGCTCACAGGGCTCGGAGCCCTGCAGTCAAGCCATTCAAAGCCGGGAGGATTTCAGGCAGCTGGGCCAAACCCCAAGGCCCGTGGGGAGATGAAGGCTGCCCAGTCAGGCTGCAGCCCCCTGGAAACCTTTTAGGTTGGGCGTGACTCCATGCTTGGTCCAGTCGGCCAGGAGCATCATGGCAGCCAGGTGGGCCCCGGCTGAGTGTCCACACAGGTAAATTCCCCTGGGGTGGGTCAGAGCAGAGAGCTGGATTTGCACTGTTTCCACACCACATCAGGCCCACTTCAAATTGTCCCAATTTGCCTTCTGCTCCACAGGCCAGAGGGGCAGCTTGGCTGTGTCCAAAGGACTGATTCCACTGTTCTCCCACCCAGCAGGGTCTGACAGGAAGAAAATCTGCTGGCAACACCCACTCATTGCTTGGATACCGCTTCTGGACAAACACAATGCTGCGGGTCACCTGGTCTACCATCTGGTCCAGGGTGCCTGCACAGAGCATGAGCTGGGTCAGGGACTCTCTGTGCCTCCTAAAGCCCACCGGCCCTTGGACCTGAAGCAGCCACCCCTATTACCTTTAGGGGCGATGTCATAACCCACTATCACCACGGCCACTCCCTGCGCTGCCAGTGGGTCGACCATGAAGGCGGACTGGTCCTTACTGCAGAGAGAGGCACAGATGTGAAGGCTGGAGGCGACCTGGCCACTGTGCTGCTTCCTGCATCCTGAACACAACACTTGCCAGATGTCCCGTCCACACACAGCATCACCCCTCTCCAGCCCCGTGTGACAGTGATGAGGACAGGCTCTCTCCCTGCCACATCACATGCGAGCTATGGGACCTTGGGGGGACTTCATGTAACTTTTTTTTTTTTTTTTTTTAAGCAGTAGGGCCTCGCTCTATCGCCCAGGCTGGAGTGCAATGGTGTGATCACAGTTCACTGCAGCCTCGACCTCCTGGGCTCAAGCGATCCTCCTGCCTCAGCCTCCCAAGCAGAAGTACAGATGTGTACCACTATGCTCAGCAAATTTATATTTTCTTTCGCAGAGGTGGGGATCTTGGGGGTCTTGCTATGTTGACCATGCTGGTTTCTAACTCCTTGCGATCCTTCTGCCTCTGCCTCCCAAAGTGTGGGATTATAGGTGTGAGCCATGGTGCCTGGCAATTTATGTAACTTCTAAGCACGGTTTCCTCATCTATAAAATAGGGGTAACTATGCTCCCTCTCTTAGGGAACTGTTTTGAGAATTAAGACTAGCAGTATAGAGAGTTCTGTGTGCAATAAATGTAAGCTTTCTTTAAGCTTTTTTTTTTTTTTTTGAGACAGGGTCTTGCTCTCTCACCCAGGCTGGAGTGCAGTGGCACAATCTCAGTTCACTGCAACCTCTACCTCCTCCTGGGTTCAAGTGATTCTCTTGCCTCAGCCTCCCAAGTAGCTGGAATTACAGGCACATGCCACCATGTTCATCTAATTTTTGTATTTTTAGTAGAGACAGCGTTTCACATGTTGGCCAGGCTGGTCTCAAACTCCTGACCTCAAGTGATCCACCCGCCTCACCCTTCCAAAGTGTTGGGGTTACAGGCGTGAGCCACCGTGCCTGGGCATTAAATGTAAGCCATTAACATGAACAAGCTTGAAGGCAACTCTGTAGGAAGGTCCTAGGAAACAGCAGGGTCTGCCAAGATCCCAAATTCCCACTGCTTGGCCTACAGTGGCCGACTGTCCCATTTTACTTGGGATTCCCTTTTTTTCCCCCTAAAGTGCTGAAAACCCCATGTTCTGGGAAACTCCTCCTTAGTCCCAAGCAAACTGGGACAGTGGGTGGTCACTCTGGCACTTCCCTTGATTCAACAGGAGGCTGAACATGCTTCTCATTTGGTGTAGTGGGTTGAACTGTGTCCCCTCAAAAGATATGTCCAAATCCTAATCCTCAGAACCCATGAATATGACGTCATAAAAGAAAGGAGGCTGGGCACAGTGGCTCACACCTATAATCCCAGCACTTTGGGAGGCTGAGGTGGGTGGATCACTTGGGGTCAGGAGTTCCAGACCAGCCTGGCCAACACGGCGAACCCGTCTCTACTAAAAATACAAAACTTAGCTGGGCATGGTGGCGGGTACCTGTAATCCCAGCTACTCAGGAGGCTAAGGCAGGAGAATCACTTGAACCTGGGAGGCGGAGGTTGCAGTGAGCTGAGGTTGCACCACTCCAGCCTGGGCTAGAGAGTGAGACTCTTGTCTCAAAGAAAAAAATAAAAAGGAGAGGAAGATTTGAGATACAAGGATCACACATGAATGGAGGCAGGGGCTAGAGCTATGCAGACAAGCCCAGGATGGCCTGTGGCCACTGCGAGCTGGAGGAGGCAGGAAGGATCCTCCTTAGAGCCGCCTTCCTAGGAACCAGCCCTGCCCACAATGCCTCCAGACTTCCGCCCTCCAGCGCTGCAAGACACCTGCCTGCAGAAAGCTGCCCAGCTTGTGGCAGTTGTTGGGAAGAGGAGTCCCCCAGGACATCTCTCTTGCACTGCACCATCCACATCCCCCGACTCACCTTCCACTCTGCCAGTATCCTCCATGAAAGAACAGGAAGAAAGGCAAGGCTGCAAAACCAAGCAGGTGGCACATGGGCGGGGCCAGCCCTTCGGAGCTCTGCCACTGGCCCCCCAGCCCCAGGACCACCGGCGCCTTCACTCACCACCTTCAGCCACCTTGTTGGGAAAGTAGATGTCCACTCTCTCCCCTTCTCCATCTCCATAGGGGACGTGCAGCAGGCTCTTCCAGGTGGCCTGGGCTCTCCTGGTAGCTGTCGCAGAAATGAACAAGTCGCTGTCAACACAAGCTCAGGTGGCGGCAGTTTCTATTTCAGCTCCGGTACAAACCTTCCCGCTGAAAGCTCCCTGAAGTTGATGTATGAGCTTTAGCTCTGAGCATCTCCCATGGAAAGAAGACTCCCAGTCCTGACGCCTGTCAAACAGTGAACTATGGTTTTGGAGGACTCTTTCCAGCATGACCTTACTACACACTTACATGCCGCTAGGGAAGGATCCTCCTCTGCCTCCTGCAGCTCTTGGTGGCTGTAGGCATTCCTAGGCCTGTGGATACATCATTCCAGTGGCCTCTGCCTCCTCCAGTCTCTGCCTCCGTCTTCATGTGGTCCCCTCCCTGTGTGCCCCTCCCTCTTCTGCCTCTTAGCCGGACACTAGTTACAGGATTTAGGGCCCACACTAACCCAGAATGACTTTACTTTAGCTAATAACACCGACAAAGATGGCCTTTCAAATAAGGAAATACCAGGGGGTGCCTGGAATCCCAGCACTTTGGGAAGTTGAGGTGGGCAGATCACCTGAGGTCAGGAGTTCAAAACCAGCCTGGCCAACATGGCAAAAACCCATCTCTGCTAAAAATACAAAAAATAGCTGGGCGAAGCAGTGGGTGTATGTAATCCCAGCTACTAGGGAGGCTGAGGTGGAGAATCACTTGAACCCAGAGGCAGAGGTGGCAGTGAACTGAGATAGCACCACTGCACTCCAGCCTGGGCGACAGAGTGAGACCCTGTCTCAAACAAAACAAAACAAGAAAATACCAAATAAGGATACAGGTTCCCAGGGTTAGGATTTGGACACGTCTCTTTTTTTGGTGTCACGGTGGGGATCACCTTTATTTGGCACTGCAGATGCTAAGTGTTTTACATAACACAATTTTCAGAATTCTAGCTAGTCAGCAGAGACCTAAGGCCTCTGGGGGCCAACGTGCAGGTCCATGCCCCAGCTTTCACATCCTGCACCCCTAGGATCCAGACACCCCCTTCTCACAGCTGTGTTCAGGCACCATCAGGGGACCCTTGCGGTGCTGGGTTGATCTCCCCAAAAGAGGTGGAATCCAGCTCCCTGTAGAACCTGCATCTCAGAAAGGGCTCAGTGTATTACCCTGCAACTTGGGATCCCCGTCTCTGAAGGCCCCCTGGTCCCCAATCTTGGTGGCCACAGTAGGCCTAGAAAAAAAGGCCTGTGCTTCCCTCAGGTGAGTGATTCATTCTGCAACTCCAGAAGGGTAAATACAGCAGAGGAAGAAAGAAGCCTGGGACCAAGCGCTCCTAGGAATCCCATCTATGCCAGCATGCAGAACTATAACGCAGGCTGTCTCCACTTCGGCTGGATGGATCAAAGCCGAGGGAAATCAAAGGGAAGCTGCCCATGTGCCAAACCCAGGCAAGGAAGCTGCCTTAACAGAACACCAGCAAAGTTGCAAAACCTGTTTTGCCAGCACCAAAGTTACCAGCCACTGCCCCTGAAGGGCTCCCTGTGTACCAACAAGAAGCTATCTATGTACCGATGAGGAAACATCACCCAGAAATACGAAGTGAAACTGGCAGGGTGGAAATGTGTATACTACAGGGCCATTTGGATGAAAGGGAGGGGAGTCTATGTCTATATTAATGACAGTGGCCGGGGGGGTCAGGGGAACTGGGCGGATGAAAGGGAGGAGGAGGGAGCATTTCACCGAAAAGCCTTGTGTGGTTTTTGTTTTGTTTTTTTGAGATGGAGTCTTGCTCTGTTACCCAAGCTGGAGAACAGTGACGCAATTTCAGCTCACTGCAACCTCCGCCTCCGGGGTTCAAGCCATTCTCCTGTCTCCGTCTTCCAAGCAGCTGAGACTATGGGGCGCGCCACCACGCCCAGCTAATTTTTTTTTTTCTTTGAGACAGAGCTTTGCTCTTGTCACCCAGACTGGAATGCAATGGCACAATCTCCGCTCACTTCAATCTGTGCCTCCTGGGTTCAAGCAATTCTCCTGCCTCAGCCAGGATTACAGGTACCCACCACCATGCCCGGCTAATTTTTTTTGTATTTTTAGTAGAGATGGGGTTTCCCCATGTTGGCCAGGTTGGTCTCAAACTCCTGACCTTGCATGAGATGCCTACCTCGGCCTCCAAAAAGTGCTGGGATTACACGTGTGAGCCATTGTGCCTGGCCCCAGCTAATTTTTGTATTTTTAGTAGACGTGGGGTTTCATGGTGTTGGTCAGGCGGCCTTGAACTCCTGAATTCACTTTTTATTTTTGAGACATGGTTTCACTCTGTCGCACAGGCAGGAGTGTAATGGTGCAATCTCAGCTCACTGCAGCCTTGATCTCCCAGGTTCAAACAAGCCTCCCACCTCAGCCACCAGAGTAGCTAAGACTACAGGTGTATGCCACGCCTGGCTAATATTTGTATTTTTTGTAGAGACAGGGTTTTGCCATGTTGCCCAGGCTATTCTCGAACTCCGAGGCTCAAGTGATCCTACCACCTTAGCCTCCCACGTAGATGGGACCACAGGCATGCAACATCACACCCAGCTAGCTTTTGTTGCTTTTTTGGAGACAGAGTTTTGCTCCTGTTGCCCAGGCTGGAGTACAATGGCGTGATCTTGGCTCACTGCAACTTCCTTCTCCTGGGTTCAAGTGATTCTCCTGCCTCAGCCTCCTGAGTAGCTACAGGCACGTGCTACCACACTCAGCTAATTTTGTATTTTTAGTAGAGATGGGGTTTCTCCATATTGGTCAGGCTGGTCTCGAACTCCCGACCTCAGGTGATCCACTGACCTCAGGTGATCCACCCACCTTGGCCTCCAAAAGTGCTGGGATTACAGGTGTGAGCCACTGCACCCGGCCATCCCAGTTAATTTTACAATTTTTTTGTAGAGACCAGTTCTTGCTATGTTGTCCAGCTGGTTTCAAACTCCTGGGCTCAAGCTGTCCTCCTGTTTCGGTTTCCTAAAGTCTGGGATTACAGGCGCACGCCACCGGACCCAGCCTCCTCTCTTTCTCAAACCACACCTGATCATCAGGAAATCCCTGGGCTCCCCTCCACTGCTTGTCCTGGGCCTAGAGTCTCCTCCCCACCTTCACCGAGACCGCTGTGGTTGGATCCCCTTTGGTCTGTTCCCCGGAAGGCAGCAGCTGCTTCTCTAGGCTCTTCCAGCTTATACTTGGACTCCCAACAGCCCCACATGTGAGCTGCTTAGAACATGCTCACATCCACCCTGGGCTCCTGTCTGAGACAGCCTGGGCAGCTATAACAAAATACCACAGATGGGTATTAGAGCAATGGAAATTTTATCTTCTCACAGTTCTGCAGACTGGAAGTCCAAGATCAAGGTGCCAGCAGCGTTGGTGTCTGATAAGCCCCAGGGCTGCAGACCTGCCACCTATACTCTGCTTAAAGGTACCTGGGCAGCCTCTTGGGCCATGCCACCACCAACACCCCTGCTGTGAACAGCCTTGTACACACATTACCACACCACTTGCAAGCATCTGTAGGGCATACTCTCAGGGGTGGAATACTGGGTCTAAAGGCAGACACACCTGTCATTTCAAGGCCACTGCCAGCTGTCCTCCAGGGGGGTTTGCCAACAACCCTGCCCCCAGCACAGTGTGAAGACAATGTGCCTCACAGGCTCATCAGAAGGTCGAGATTTAATTAACACAGGACTTCTTAAAGCATATAAATGGACTAGATTAACGTCATGCTACACCTAAGAAAAACATCATGAAATGTATGTTCTAAATGGAATAGCAATTAAAACCAAGCGGCTTCAGGTGTTCATTATCAGGCAGAAGCCTCCTCAGCTATTGAAAATTCTACTGACCCCAAGAAAGAGAAATTGCCTCTCTCTAGGAGAGGACAGCTGGGGTGCAGTGACAGAGAATGAAGTGACTCATGCCCCCACAGAGGGCCCTCCAGGCCGTGAACCCCAGGACAAGAACGCAGGAGGGCTTCAGCAAGACAGCCCAGAACCAACCTTACGGCAAGCTTCCTTCCTCCTTAAGGCAAACACTGCGCTGCTGTTATTTACAACCCAAGCTATGAGGAAATCGTGCTGTGAACATACATGTAAATGTGCTTGTTTGAGTACCTGTTTTCAATTACTTTTGGTTAGAAATAATTTGTTTTTTTTTCTCTCTTTTTCAGACACAATTTTACTCTTGTTGCCCAGGCTGGAGTGCAGTGGTGTGATCTTGGCTCACTGCAAGTTTTCCCTCCTGGGTTCAAGCGATTCTCCTACTTCAGCCTCCCCAGTAGCTGAGATTACAGGCATGTGCCATCATGCCTGGCTATTTTTGTATTTTTACTAGAGACGGGGCTTCACCATGTTGGCCAGGCCGGTCTCGAACTCCTGACCTCAAGTGATCCGCCCACCTTGGCCTCCCAAAGTGTTGGGATGACAGGTGTGAGCCACTGAGTCTGGCCTGAAAGAAGTAATTTGTTTTCTTTTTCTTTCTTTTTTTTGACAAAAGGTCTTGCTTTGTTGCCCAGCCTGGAGTGCAGTGGCATAATCTTGCCTCACTGCAACCTCTGCCTCCCAGGTTCAAGCGATTCTCCTGCCTCAGCTTCCAGAGTAGCTGGGATTACAGGCAGGCGCCACCACGCCCAGCTATTTTTGTGTTTTTAGTGGAGATGGGGTTTCATCATGTTGACCAGGCTGGTCTTGAACTCCTGACTTCCAGTGATCCCCCACCTTGACCTCCCAAAGTGCTGGGATTACAGGCATGAGCTGCCACATGCAGCCCCACAGTCCTGTTTTTAATACCATACACAGCATTCGAAATTATTAGTAAAAATACATTTTACAGTTTGCAAAATGCCGTATATATTTTTTGTCCAGATACAAAAGCTCAAATTCTGCATGATTTCATTTAAATGAGGTCCCTAGGGAAGTCGAATTCATAAAGACAAGAAGTAAAACAGGGGTTGCTAGGGGCAAGGAGAGGGAAGAATGGGAGTGAGTGTTTAAAGAGACAGTTCTTTCTTTCTTTTTTTTTTTTTTTTTGAGACAGAGTCTCACTCTGTTGACCAGACTGGAGGGTCACAGTAAAACAAATTTAAAAGCTAGTGTAGGCCAGGCACAGTGGCTCAAACCTATAATCCCAACACTTTGGGAGGCCAAGGAAGGTGGATCATGAGGTCAGGAGTTCAAGACCAGCCTGGCCAAGATGGTGAAACCCTGTCTCTACTAAAAATACAAAAGTTAGTCAGGCGTGATAGCGGGCACCTGTAAACCCAGATACTCGGGAGGCTGAGACACAAGAATTGCTTGAACCCAGGAGGTGGAGGCTGCAGTGAACCAAAATCAAACCACTGCACTCCAGCCTGGGTGACAGAGGAAGGCCGTGTCTCATAAAAAAATAAATAAATAAATGACCAATACATAAAGAAATATGCAGCCTTGAACTCCTGGGCAGCAGTCGTCCTCCCGCCTCAGCCTCCCAAGTAGGTGGAACTACAGATGCACACTCCCCACACCGTGCTAATTTTTAAATTTTTTTTAGAAGTAGGTTCTTGCTATGTTGCCCAGGCTGCTCTCAAACTCCTGGCCTCAAAGGATCCTCCTGCTTTGACCTCCTGCAATGCTGGGGTCACAGGTGTGCGTGACAGTGCCTGGCTTCTGTCTCTCTCTTTTTAAAAAATCTTTTTCTTTAAAGGTTCAATCAAGCGTGCTTTTTACATCTGTCTTCCTTTCTCAATGGGGATAGCTCCTTATCTCTCAAGACAATTAAGACAGGCAAACAGGTTTGCTTCTGGCTCTTGTATGTTTCGCCACACTCATATTTATTGAGCAAACAGAGATGAGTTTGGCACAGAGCTGGGCACAGCAAGGAACCATGAAGAGCCCAGGGAACAGCTCCGCCCCAATCTATTGAGACAGGAGGATGCTGGAATGTGCTGGAACACACTTCTAACCAATCTGTTCCTCCTGGGTTCTCTCTGTTTAGAAAACCACCAAGCCCAGGAGCCAAGGCACTGCCTCTGAAAGGCTGTGCTGAGCCTGCTGCAGCAAAGCCAATTTGCCAGGCATGGCCGGCTGCTTCCTCACCCACACTTCCTCCTCAGGGCCAGCTCCCCATCCCAGCACAGATGCTTTACCAAGTGTTCAAACTGTGGTGCAACACTCTGCAGACACAGGGCAGAGACAGAAATGTACCTTAAGACTTCACTAGTTTACAGGTTCCCAAGTCCAGATTTCTTTAAAGAAAGAAAAGGTGAAAGGCCGGGCGCAGTGGCTCATGCCTATAACCCCAGCACTTTGGGAGGCTGAGGCGGGTGGATCACAAGGTCAGGAGTTCAAGACCAGCTTGACAAACTTGGAAAAACCCCATCTCCACTAAAAGTACAAAAGTAGCCAGGCATGGTGGCATACGCCTGTAATGCCAACTACTTAGGAGGCTGAGGCAGGAGAATCACCTGAACCTGGGAGGCAGAGGTTGCAGTGAGCCAAGATTGAGCCACTGCACTCCAGCCTCAGCAACAAGAGCGAAACTGTCTCAAAAAAAAGAAAGAAAGAAAAGGCAGTGGGGCATACCTGTAATCCCAGCACTTTGGGAGGTCGAGGAGGGGGCGACAAATCACCTTGGGTTGGGAGTTATAGACCAGCCTGGCCAATACGGTAAAACCCTATCCTCTACTAAAAATACAAAAAATTAGCTGAGCGTAGTGGTGGGCACCTGCAATCCCAGCTACTTGGGAGACTGAGGCAGGAGAATCGCTTGAACCCAGGAGGCAGAGGATGTAGTGAGCCGAGATCGAGCCACTGCACTCCAGCCTGGGTGGGACGGAGTGAGACTTCATCTTAATAAAAAAAAAAAAAAAAAAAAAAAAAAAAAAAAATGCTGGGCACGGTGGCTCATCCCTGTAATCCCAGCACTTTGAAAAGCCAAGGTGGGCAGATCATGAGGTCAAGAGATCAAGACCATCCTGGCCAACATGGTGAAACCCCATCTCTACTAAAAATACAAAAATTAGCTGGGCATGGTGGCTGAGGTAGGAGAATTGCTTGAACCTGGGAGGCAGAGGTTGCAGTGAGCCAAGCCACTGCACTCCAGCCTGGCAACAGAGCGAGACTCCCATCTCAAAAAAAAAAAAAAAGGCTTCATTGCTTTTTTTTTCTCCCGAGACAGGGTCTCACTCTTACCCAGGCTAGAGTGCAGTGATGCAATCTCAGCTCACTGCAATCTCTGCCTCCCAGGTTCAAGCAATTTTCATGCCTCAGGTTCCCAAGTAGCTGGAATTACAGGTGTCAGCTAATTTTTGTATTTTTTTTGTAGAGATGGGGTTTTGCCATGGTGGCCAGGCTGGTTCTTGAACTCCTGGCCTCAAGTGATCTGCCCGTTGCGGCCTCCCAAAGTATTGCTTTTTATGAATAGTGACCTCATTCCGCATTCAGTAGTGGAGGGGGAACGTTCCTCTGTTCACTTCACCTCCCTGTGCCAACCACAGCATGGAGCTTTAGGGGCCTGGGCATGGCTGGCCAAGCAGGAGAGGCCAGGCATGGTCAACCGAGCCATGGACCTTCCCTGGACCTCTCCTGCCTCCACCGGTCCCTGCAGCAAGGGGTCCTGGGCACTTGCCCCTGAGCAGGTGGTTTACTTTGGGAAATGGCCCTTGAGGCCCAGGTAGTGCAGTGCAGCGCCCACATCCCCAGCATTCTGAACCACTGCCACATGCTAAAGGCCACCCAATGCGGCCACAGAGAGGTCACATCGTTACCTTCAATTCCTATCTGTGAGTAGGTCCTCAAGGCTTCTTCCGCTCCCAGTCGGACGACCCATTGCCTGGGGAGGTACTGGTGCTCCAGCTCCTGTGGGACAAGGACACGAGGTTCTGTAAGATTTCCTTCTTAACAGAGTGTGTCCCTCCCTACCGCCCATGCCTCACTGCTCTTCTCTGCCTTAGAAGCCCCCTCCCCAGTATCCCAGGGCCTCCAAGATGCCCTTGGATTCATGGTCTATAGGTATACCAGCGACAGCTGTGCCCTTAGCCAGCTTGCAGCCTGTGGGTAATCCCCCACACAGGCACCAAGGAAGGAGAGCTGTGTAAACCCCAGGTACAATTAGTGCCTGAAGAATATCTTAGTTTATAGTGTTATTACTCAGTTATTTCCTTTATATAATCCTTTATATATAAACATATATTATTAGTTTACAGAATTAGTGCCTGAAGTATAACTTGCTGCTTACATTTATCTCGCTTATATAATCATACTTAGTTCCATATAATCTTTCTATATAATCATATAGGTATTGTAGTCGGAGCTGTACCAACACATTTAGTGCTGATTTGTAGAATCCTTCCGTATAACCATATAGTAGTTTGTGGTAGGAGGAATGCCTAGAGCAGTCACAGAACAGAAGCAGCACATGGGAAAACAGCCAGACCAGGACAAGAACCAAAGACCCAGGCGGTAGTGTCCCTGTCTGAAAGGGCATATGCTGTATGGCAGGCTTGGAGCAGGAGCCTCTCCTCCTGAGAAAGGAGTTATAGCACCTCGAATCCAGTTCCTGTGGAAAGTAGGCCTCGGGCCTGAGATCCTGGAAGTAACCGAGGGAGAAGAACCCCTCTGGTGTGACCAGTCATGGCGGCTGTCCACCCTGTCAGTCGTTTCTCACTTCTGTGCCAGTTCCAATCATCCTCCCATAAATATCTTAAGAGCACAAGTCAGTCAGCTCCCACTGCATTGGCTTACAGTATCTTTCTATTAGAAACCCTGTGAAGTCTCCAGCCCCCGGAAAAGAAGTATTGCACATGACACCTGTTGTACACAGCCCACCTCCTTGCCTTGGTGACCTAATGGGGGTAGACCCCTTTTCTGTACACGACCCTCTATTACTGCACACGGCCCACCTCTCTGCCCAGGTGACATAATGGGGTGGCCTCCTCGCTTGTGATTCACGTGATTATGTATGCCCTATCACTAAGCCTATAGATGAGACCTCACTTATCACCCGTCCCCCTGCTTGTACCATCAATACAGACGATTCTGGACGTTCTGGGCCTCGCCTGTCTCTGCTCACAGGTGGCGTGGCCCCCCGAGTCCAGATGCTCTTCTCCAGTTCTTCAATGTCCTGTCTCTTTACTTCTCAGATCTGCATCTCAGCACAGCATAAGGGACACCCCACAGCCCTCTGGGGCCAACAGCCCTACAATAGCCTTAAGGGGAGATGAAGTCCCCCAAATGAATCCAGTTAATGCCATCATTAACTGGATGTCCGGAAGAGCTGCCCGGCCCGGTGGCTCACGCCTATAATCCCAGCACTTTGGGAGGCCAAGGCGGGTGAATCACCTGAGGTCAGGAGTTCGAGACCAGCCTGGTCAACCTGGTAAAACCCCACCTCTACTGAAAATACAAAAATTAGCCAAGCGTGGTGGGGTGCACCTGTAATCCTAGTTACTCTGGAGGCTGAGGCAGGAGAATCGCTTAAGCTGGGGAGGTGGAGGCTGCAGTGAGCAGAGATCACACCACTACACTCCATCCTGAGCGACAGAGCAAGACTCCGTCCCCGCTCCAAAAAAAGGAGGAGCTGATCTACCCTGAGAGGGTATTATTCTGACCACAGGTGGTAACTGCATAGTCAAAGGCACAGAGGTGAGGAGGAAGGAATTAAAGGTCACTTTGCAAATGCTGGAGGTCTGCATGGCTGCCACACAGAGGTGACGCTGGGAGGCCGGGTTGGAGGAGGGGTGGTGAATGTTGGGCTGACGTGTTCACACTTAATGCAGAAAGTAACAAGGAAGCACTCTGAGGCAGTTTGGAGAATTTTTTTAAAAAACAGAAAAGGCTGCATGCAGTGGCTCATGCCTATAATCCCAGTACTTTGGGAGGCCAAGTTAGGTGGGTCACTTGAGTCCAGGAGTTGCAGACCAGCCTGGCAATAAGGCAGAACCCCGTCTCTGTAAAAATATGAAAAATCAGCCAGGCATAGTGGTAAGGGAGGCTAAGGCACGAGAATCGCTTGAGCCCAGGAAGCAGAGTTTGTAGTGAGCCAAGATTGCGCCACTGCACTCCAGCCTGGAAGACAGAGCAAGTCCCTTCTCAAAAAAGAAAGAAAAAAAAGGACTGGGTGCAGTGGCTCACACCTGTAATCCCAGCACTTTGAGAGGCCAAGGTGTGTAGGGCTGTGGAGGCCCCACAGGGTCATGGGGTGTCCCTTATGCTGTGTTGAGGTGCAGGATCCAAGAAGTAGAGACAGGACACTGAAGAACTGGTGAAGAGCATCCGGGGGGCCATACCACCTGTGAGCGGAGGTCAGCGGCGGCCCCCAAATGCCCAAGAGCATCTGTATTCATTAGGTACAAGCAGGGGGAAGGGTTGTGAGTGAGGTCATCATCTATAGGCTTAGTAATAGGGCATACATGATCACGTGAGTTACAAGTGAGGGGACCACCCCATTATGTCACCTGGGCAGAGAGGTGGGCCGTGCACAGCATGGGGCTGTGCCGTGCACAGTAGTAGAGGGTTGTGTACAGAAAAGGGGTCCACCTTTATTAGGTCACCAAGGCAAGGAGGTGGGCTGTGTGCAACAGGTGTCATGCGCAACACTTCTTATCTGGGGGCTGGAGACTTCAGAGGATTTCTAGTAGGATACTGTAAGCCAGTGCAGTGGGAGCTGACAGACTTGTGCTATTCTCTTAAGATATTTATGGGAGGATTCTTTGAGCTAGCACAGGGGTGAGAAACGACTGACAGGGTGGACAGCCACCGTGACTGGTCACACCAGAGGGGTTCTTCTCCCTTGGTTACTTCCAGGATCTCAGGCCCGAGGCCTACTTTGCCCAGGAACTGGATGCGAGGTGCTATAACTCCTTTCTCAGGAGGAGAGGTTCCTGCTCCAAGCCTGCCATACAGCATATGCCCTTTCAGACAGGGACACCACCGGCTGGGTCTTTGGTTCTTGTCCTGGTCTGAACCATGTGCTGCTTCTGTTCTATGACTGCTCTAGGCATTCCTCCTACTACAAACTACTATATGGTTATACGGAAGGATTCTACAAATCAGCACTAAATGTGTTGGTACAGCTCCAACTACAATACCTATATGATTATATAGAAAGATTATATAGAACTAAGTATGCTAGATATATGTAAAAAGTAAGTTACTCTTCAAGCACTAATTCTATAAACGAATATGATTATATATGAAGGATTGTATAAAGGAAACAGCTGAGCAATAACACTATGAACTAAGATATTCTTCAGGCACTAGCTGAAGTTCTCCTTCCTCGGTGCCCATGGGGGGTGTTACCCACAAAGGCAGGCAGATCACCTGAGGTCAGGAGTTCAAGACCAGCCTTGACAACATGGTGAAACCCTGTCTCTACTAAAAATACAAAAATTAGCTGGGCGCGGTGGCAGGTGCCGTAATCTCAGCTACTCGGAGGCTGAGGCAAGAGAACTGCTGGAACCCGAGAGGCGGAGGTTGCAGTGAGCTGAGATCACAGCATTGCACTCCAGCCTGGGCAACAGAGCAACACTCTGTCTCAAAAAAAAAGAAGAAGAAAGAAAAAAGAAAGACAGTAACAAGGAACCAGATTTTGAAGTGCTCAAAGCCATTATGAGAAATGGGAAGTCAGGATGGCCCCATGGAAAGGCCTGGGGTCAAATGCCATCTGACCTCCCTCACTTACTTGCTGTTTTATCCTGAACAATTTATTTAGTCTCGGGGATTCAGTTCCCTTACTGGTAGAAGGCATCTATCCAGGATGGGCGCAGTGGCTCACGCCTATAATCCCAGCACTTTGGGAGGCTGAGACAGGTGGATCACTTGAGGCCAGGAGTTCGAGACCATCCTGCCAACATGTCGAAACCTCATCTCTACTAAAAATACAAGAATTAGCTGGATACGGTGGCAGGTGCCTGTAATCCCAGCTACGCAGGAAGCTGAGGCAGGAGAATGACTTGAACCTGGGAGGCGGAGGTTGCAGTGAGCCAAGATCATGCCACTGCACTCCAGCCTGGGCGACAGAGTGAGACTTCGTCAAAAAAAAAAAAAAAAAAAAAAAAAAGAGGCATATCCAAATCACAAGCTTAAAAGAGATAAGGCATGCGAGTACATAAAGCAAGCCCCTCAGTGTGGCTTGTTTCTTCCTTCCCATGAAGGGCTGTTTGTCAGAGGTCCCAGGATCTGTCCAAACTGTATCTGGAAAGGTTATTACCTGTAAGGTCCTTATAGCCATACCTGGCACACTCTGTGATCACTACCATCATCTTTGTTGCTATTATTTATGATCAGAATTATGCAATGGGTTTCTTTCTTTTTTTTTTTTTTAACTGCTATTTCTTTTTTTTAACCCCATAGCTGTTCTGTTCTGTCTTCTTCAGCCTTTCCCACATATGCACAGACCCAAAAACATTATGTAACCTCAGATCAAGGTCCAGAACTTTGGCCCCTAACCTCCTGCGGGTCTACAGATTTATTTTTTTTTTTAAGATGAAGTCTCGGTCTCTTTCACCCAGGCTCCGAGGCTGGAGTGCAATGGGGATTTCGGCTCACTCCAACTTCCGCCTCCTGGGTTCAAGTGATTCTCCTGTCTCAGCCTCCCGAGTAGCTGGGATTACAGGTGCACATTCCATGCCTGGCTAATTTTTGTATTTTTAGTACAGACGGGGTTTCATAATGTTATCCAGGTTGGTCTCGAACTCCTGACCTCATGATCCACCCACCTTGGCCTTCCAAAGTGCTGGGATTACAGCTGAAAGCCACCGCACCTAGCTGGCTCTATGGATATTATTAGCACAGCCAGGACTTCAATTTTCTGTATCCTGAAAATCAGTCTAACAAATCTTTAGGAGAAGGTTAAATACAACGCGGTGACCTGGCACACACTAGGCCCTCAGCACTCCCACAGGTGCGGTCTACATGGCTTCTAAGCTTTCTTCTTAGAATTACAATCTAATCAATAAGTTAACTCCACCCCAGCCCCTCAGTCCCTCCCTGAACACCACCGACCTCTGCAGACATCTTCTTCCAAGGAGCCTCGCCCGAAACACCCACACCGGAAACCTCCATCGCGCGGTCTACAGCCGGATGGGTCTGCATCTCGCCCCTTTATATAGCCTAAACCCCGCCTCGCTCCGCCCCTTTAAATTGGGTGGGCGGAGAGAGGCGGGGCTCAGGCCAGACCCCACCCGGATAGGCCATGCCGGTGCCTTCCCAATCCCCGCGCGCGCGTCCTGGATCCTTCCCACGAGGGGGCGGGCTGAGGTAATATTTCCCGCCGGGTCCGCTGGCGGGCGCTGATTGGCCCTGGGGCGGCGGGGCTCGCGCTGATTGGCCCCAGGGCGGCGGGGCTCGGCCAGCCCTCCGTGGTTAAAAGCCGGAGGCGCGAGCTGCGGGGGTTTTTTTTGCCGGGCGGCTGTGGAGACTTCTTGGGTCCGTGAACTTCCGGAGACACTATGAGCTGTATTAACCTGCCCACCGTGCTGCCCGGATCCCCCAGCAAGACCCGGGGACAGATCCAGGTGCGGAGGCTGGGCCTGTGCGGGGCTGGGGATGAGGGGATCGGGGTGACGGCCTGTGCCCGGGCATCCGCGCAGGGCGGGCCCCCAAGTGACCTCACTTTCTCTCCTAGGTGATTCTCGGGCCGATGTTCTCTGGAAAAAGGTATCGGCTTCGCGGGGCTGGGGTGGACCTCTTTCCTCTTCCCCGGGGACCCTTGTCCCTTCCTTCCCTTCCGCTACAGGTACCAGCGCAGCCTCCCACAGCTCCCGCCCAGGTTTCTCCTCCTCCCTGGAATTAGGTCCAAGAGGAAGCCTCCGCCCCCTTCTGTCCAAGTCAAGCCCCTCCTCCCATAGGGACGCTGCTCCCTCCTGGAGCTGTTCACAGCCGATCACAGCGGATCATAGCTTAGCCCTCTTCTCTGTCAAGTCCTCTGGGAAGGGGACAACCCCTTGTGCCCACTGTAGGCCAGGCCTTTCTGTACACCCCTCTTCAATGTGGCTGTTTCCTTATAAGGCCAAGGAAACGCCGTGGCTTTCTGCACAGAGGAGTCTGAAGCCAGGGAGCCTCTGCTCTCTTGAGGTGAAAGAACCATTCCCTGATCCAGCTAATGAGATTCCTGGGTAAACTACCCACCCACCACCATCCCTTTTGTTTTGTTTTTGTAGAGGTAGGGTCTTGCTATGTTGCCCAGGCTGGTCTGGTCTCAAACAATTCTCTCACCTCAGCCTCCCAAGTAGCTGGGACTACAGGCGTGCACCACACCACCCAGCTAATTTTATTTTTGTAGAGCTAGGGGTCTTGCTCTGTTGCACAGCTGGTCTTGAACTCCTCCTGGTCTCAAGCGATCCTCCTGCTTTGGCCTCCCAAAGTGCTGGAATTACAGACGTTAGCCACCATGCCCTACCCAAACATTCTTATGTGGCTCTGGGGATCACTTCAGTTCAAACCCCTGGCTCAGGAAGATGAGGCTCAGGGTTGAATTTTTTTTTTTTTTTTTTGAGATAGACTATTGCTCTGTCTCCCAGGCTGGAGTGCAGTGGCACGATCTCGGCTCACTGCCACCTCAGCCTTCCGGTTCAAACAATTCTCTTGCCTCAGCCTCCTGAGTAGCTGAGATTACAGGTGTACACCACCACACCTGGCTAATTTTTGTATTTTTAGTGGAGATGGAGTTTCATCATGTTGGTCAGGCTGGTCTTGAACTCCTAACCTTGTGATCCGCCCGCCTCGGCCTCCCAAAGTGCTGGGATTACAGGCGTGAGCCACCTCGCCCAGCCAGGGTTGGACTTATGGGACCCAGAAGCAAGTGATTTTGACATGGCACACAAAGGCTTTTGGAACTTACTTTAGAAAAGCTCTAGGCTAGGCTTGGTGGCTCAAGCTTGTAATCCCAGCACTTTGGAAGTCTGAGGCAGGTGGATCACTTGAGGTCAGGAGTTTGAGACCAGCCTGGGCAACATGGTAAAACCCTGCCTCTACTGAAAAAAAAAAAAAAAAAAAAAAAAAAATTACCTGGGTGTGGTGGCAGGCTTCTGTAATCCGAGCTACTCCGGAGGTTGAGGCAGGAGAATTGCTTGAACCCGGACAGCAGGGGTTGCAGTTAGCTGAGATCGCGCCACTGCGCTTTAACCTAGGCGACAGAGTGAGATTCTGCCTCAAGAAAAAGAAAGAAAAGCTCTGAATTCTGGGAATGACTCTGGGATGAGCTTACTTTGGAACGCAGCTGCAGGTCCCCTCTACATGTGGCCTTTGCCTCTCTGCCTTCCCCACTACATCCGGGAGAAGCTTGCTCCTCCCACACTTCCTGGGACCACCTGAGTGTCATTCCTGGACACCTTCCCCATAGAGAATTCTGACTTCCGACCCTCTTGGTAGGGATCTTACACCCTGCCTGCTCTGCCCTGCTCTTACCCGGCTGTGGTGGGCTCAGGCTGCATACTACTAGGGGGGCAATGAGGAGCCAGGCTTGTTGGGGAGGGGGTCTCCTCCCACCGTGGGCCTCACCTGACCCTCTCTCCTCTTGCAGTACGGAGCTGATGAGGCGCGTCCGTCGCTTCCAGATTGCTCAGTACAAGTGCCTGGTGATCAAGTATGCCAAAGACACTCGCTACAGCAGCAGCTTCTGCACACATGACCGGTCAGTCCCTGCTCCTGCAGTTCTGTCCAGTGGAAAATCACAAGGCACAGGACACACTGTTGGAGCTCTCTTTAGTGGGGATGGTTAATCATGCTGGCCAGGCATTGAATGAACTGGTTCAGACCAGCACACGTGCTTGGCAAGCTGGCACCCACTCTCCATTCCCTGGGCTAGAGCCAGTGGTTCTCATCTGGGGGTGATTTTGCCCCCAGGGTCCATTTGGCAACATCTGAAGACATTTCTAGTTGTTGCAACTGGAGAGGGGAGGGGATGCTTCTGGACTTTAATGTGTAAAGGTCAGGGACGCTGCTGCTGAGGGTCCTACAGTGCTGGGATTACAGGCGTGAGCCATAGCACCCGGCCCGTTTGTTTGTTTTTGAGACAGGGTCTCCATATGTCACCCAGGCTGGAGTGCAATGGCTCAATCCTAGCTCACTGTTATGTAACCCTAAACCCTTCACCTCAAGTGATCCTCCCACCTCAGTGCCCTGAGTAGGTGGGACTACAGGTGCATACCACCGTGCCCAGCTAATTTTTAGATTTTTGTCAGTGTCTTGCTGTGTTACCCAGCCTGGTCTTGAATTCCTGATTTAAGGTGATCCTCCCATCTTGGCCTCCCCAAAGTGCTAAGATTACAGGCATGAGCTGCTGTGCCTGCCCAGAATACAGATGTTAAAAATTTATATTTTGTAACACAGTTGATATAAGGACAAGTATAACCCAGGCCCAGTTCTAGTTATTCATTCTGAATTTTAAAAGGAAACATTTGGCTGGCCCCTAATGGTATTATGGGCTTGGTACCTGATGAAGTTGGCCTTATCTGCCCCCAGCTCCTCAACAGTGGAAGAGTTTCTAGTCTCATTGAGCTTTGTATTGGACACTACTAATTTCTAATCCAAAGCATCAAGTGAACTGGCTTCTATAAATAACTGGTTTTCTTCTTTGGGAGGCCGAGGTGGGCGGATCAAATAAAGTTAGGAGTTTGAGACCAGCCTGGGCGACATGGTGAAACCCCTTCACTAAGAAAAATATAAAAATTAGCTGGGCATGGTGGCATGTGCCTGTAGTCCCAGCTACTCCTGAGGCTGCGGCGGGAGAATTGCTTGAACTCCTTGAGAACTGGGAGGTGGAGATTGCAGCAAGCTGAGATGGTACCACTGCACTCCAGCCTGAGCAACAAAGCAAGACTCTGTCTCAAAAAAATTAATTAGTTAATTAAATAACTGGTTTTCTGGACAAGGGCCTTTCCCATAGGTTGTGGGAAAATCCCTGCTGGGTGAACACTGATCCTGCTTTGCATGCTGCAGGTGGTTGTGACAGGAGCCGTTCCCTGGCCCCTGCATCCTGGCTCTGGCCTGCCTGGCTTCGCTCATGCTCTGGCTTTCTCTTCCCAGGAACACCATGGAGGCACTGCCTGCCTGCCTGCTCCGAGACGTGGCCCAGGAGGCCCTGGGAGTGGCTGTCATAGGCATTGATGAGGGGCAGTTTGTAAGTTGGCTTGTCCTGGTGTCACTCTTCCTGCTAGCTCCTGCTCTGTCTTCCATTTTTCCCCACTGGTTTGGAGATTGTCTGATCTGTTAGTAAAATAACAAGGTTAAATAGCTATAACTAGTGTTGGAATACTCTCTGAAGGCCCCTTTCTAGTTTCCCTGTCATAGTCATGTAGGTTTCATTTTGCCTTTTTTTTTTTTTTTTTTTGAGATGGAATTTTGCTCTCGTTGCCCAGGCTGGAGTACAATGGCGCAATCTCATTTCACCACAACCTTCAGCTCCCCGATCAAGCGATTCTCCTGCCTCAGCCTCCCATGTAGCTGGGATTACAGGCATGCACTACCACATCTGGCTAATCTTGTATTTTTAGTAAAGACAGGGTTTCTCTATGTTGGCCAGGCTGGTCTTGAACTCCCAACCTCAGGTGATCTGCCCACCTCAGCCTCCCAAAGTGCTGGGATTACAGGTGTGAGCTAGTGTGCCCAGCCTGTGTGTGTGTGTGTGTGTGTGTGTGTGTGTGATGGAGTCTTGCTCTGTCACCCATGCTGGAGTGTAGATACATGATCTCGACTCACAGCAACCTCTACCTCCTGAGTTCAAGCAATTCTTTTTTTTTTTTTTTGAGTTCAAGCAATTCTCCTGCCTCAGCCTCCTGAGTGGCTGGGATCACAGGCATGCACCAGCACACCTGGCTAATTTTTGTTTTATTTATTTATTTATTTATGAGAAGGGGTTTCACCATGTTGGCTAGGATGGTCTTGATCTCTTGACCTCGTGATCTGCCCGCCTTGGCCTCCCAAAGTGCGGGGATTATAGGCATGAGCCACTGTGCGCAGCCCAATTTTTTTATTTTTAGTAGATGGGGTTTTACATGTTGGCCAGGCTGGTCTGTTATTTCCGACCTCAGGTGATCCACCTGCCTTGGCCTCCCAAATTGGTGGGATTACATCCTTGATCTTGTTGCTCTGAAAAGTAGTAGTGCTGGTTGTTGTGTTTTTGCTTAGGGGAAGGCCACCAACTGTCTAATGTTTGGT